AAGGGCTGTTCAGGAGCCAGTTCAAAACGTTAAATCTATTTTAGACACTAGAACCCTTAATTTATTCAAATTGTTTTCTATTGGTATGTTTGTGTTTTCCAGATATGCTTACTCTTTTGCATTGAGGAACAGAGTTTATACTTGAGTTTTTATTTGCCTCTGTTGTATATTCACGTTCATGTCTTCCACTCTGCAACTCAATTAACTAAAACAAAAATTCTTATGTAGGATAGATACCCTTGCTAACTGTTCTCTGCTCCCAAATCACTGTCATTTTTGACCTTCTTGAGTGACAATAGGTCTTTTGTGTCCTTCCTCAAGATAAAGAACAATCATTTGAATCAAGCAATCCATGAAGAGCGAGAGGCCATCATTGAGCTGCGTGTGCAGCTCCGTCTGCTCCAGCTGCAACGCGCCAAGTCTGAGCCGCAGGCACAGGACGAAGAGGAGCCGGAAAGGCGTGGGGGTGCTGTCCAGCTGCCTAGAGACAGTGCCCCGGAGACAAAAGCAGCTAAAGAGCAGCCAAAGGCAGGCAAAGAGCAGGCCAAGCCATCCCCGAGCAGAGACAGGAAGGAGACGCCCATCTGAGCATCCTGTGGGTCCTGGAGTCCTCCAGACCTAACAAGACCTGTGCATCTTACTGTAAACCCGAGAATCAGAGTGCACAACTCTCTGCTGTACATTCTGTAAAGATACCTTTTCTTAGAGACTCTTGTCTTTCACACATTTGACTTCTCCGCATCAGGCTCAGGTTACAGGGGAGGAGAAAGCAGTGGATGAATTGTGGGCTTGTAGGAGACAGATGAGTTTTCCAGATAGCTTATTTGAAGATTAATTTTCTTTGTTAAAGTAACTATTTTAACCCTTGAGTGGCTTCTTTTTAAACCAAAAATCATCTTTGCTTTTTTATTATGGCGGAATCAGGATCTCTTTCTCTCATTCAAGGGGAGGAACCAAACAAGGTAAAAATACTCTTCCTGCCTTGTGGCTCGCCCCACAGTCTCACCCTCCAGGGTCACTGCTTACCTAGTCACTCTTGCTTGTGCCTTTTATACCTTTTTGGTGCAGATTATATCATGGGGAGCTGCCTCATATTTCCTGACTGGCCAGAATGGCTCTTATGGGGGTTACCTTTACTCACGCTTGTCACCCTCTCCTTTGACAGTCCTAAGACACAGTTCTTGAGCCTGAGTCACCAGGGTGGCCAAGTTGGTCACAGAACTGGACTGGCCTGCCAGCCCTGGAGCAGCCCCATCCAGTGTGGAGGGGCCACCTTGCTCCTTCTGGGTCCTCCAGGTTCTCATTGCTATTGATTAGCAAATGTTTTTTACTAGGTTGGTCCAAGGTAACTGCCTTGACCTAAGGAACCCACAAAAAGGATCTGTTTCTCAAACCAGAAGTCTTCTATGTGACTGACCTTCCATTAAAAACAGAATGACTCAAATTGCTTGCTTGGGCTAGAATGTAAATGTCTCTTTGCCTGAATAAGCCATATTATCATGTTGAGCAAAAGTTCTCATTATCCACATCATCTCAGTGAACCTGCTGATGGACTTTGAATTGACAAGATTGAGCAATAGGAAAAACTTTTCCTTTTAATGATAGCTGTGACCCCCAACCCCATTTTCTTGCTTTGCCACTTTCCCGGTGACCTCAGGGGTCTGGGAGGCCAAGTCTCCGGCACCTTTGTTGAATCACACTTTGTTTTGCCCGAATAGATGGCACCTGTGAGGTAGGTCAGCTCTCGTGGCTGTGAAGACACGGTCAAGGTGATGGAAACAAATCCCCCCACCCCCTTGAGGGCTCTGTCCTCTCCTCCTTAGTATTTATTTTCAGCACCTATTTGATGCGGTTTTTTATCCTTTACCTATTGCACTGTTGTGACTTGTTGGCCATTATTTGATTTTTGTACCAAAAAAAGCTTTGTTATAGAAATCAGCATACTATTTTTTTAAACCTGGAGAGATATTATGGTGACTGAAAATATGGTCAGGTGTCAAATATAAATGTATAAAAGCCTTCTTGCTGTCCCGTTGGTCATATTACCTTCATTTTATATTTGCTGGCAATGTTGGAGGTTTCTTTTTGTTTGTGTAAACTAATTTCTATCAAGGTGTCATGGATTTTTAAAATTTAGTATTTCATTACAGTTGTCTCAGTGTTGGTTAACTAATTTTTGCCAGAACTGTTACTGATCAAGCAAATAAATTCAACAGCCATTTGAGAAAAAAATGCTTCCCATTTTTTTTATACCTGTTTCCTTTGAATTAAGTGCCCAATGGTTGTCAGGGTGTTAGTTTGATATTTCTTTACATCCTAAAGTGAAAAAAATGTTTTAACTCACTTTGTGTTCCTCACCCAGGCAGAGTTGTACCCACTCACTGGCTAGTAGGGTTTGCAGCAGCGCCCTCCCCCTCCCCCACTTCAGCCAGTGCTTGCCACTGAAGGTGCATGTTTGTACAACCCAGCTCACTGGGTCTGCAGCTGCTTCCGTGTGTGATGACCTGGTTCCAATGGAAAGTGAGTTTTGCCCTTCTAGCTTGATGCACAAGTCAGCCGGTCCAGCTTGGCAAAAAAGCAGGATGGTTATTGCAGTGTGGCTTTCCTGACCAGGGATCTGTCAGGCAGATTACTTACCTAATGCTGATCTGATGATTCCTGAGTGACTGGATTCAGTTTCTAGGAGAGCTGGGACTGATTGTATGTCTTTGCTTGGTGATATTGGACCTACTGGGTTGTTTTCACAACAGGAAACTGAGGCTCAAAGCAGTGGTATAACTTGTAGGTGGTTGTTATTGCCTACATTGTCACCACACACCCGAGACCAAGAGGGAATGAAGCAGTGTGATCTCCTCTGAACTAGAGTGCCACAGCTCCAATAAAGGGCAAGAACTGATGATAAGTCCAGCTACAATTAGAGAAAGCAAGAGCCATCTCTTTGGGAGGGTGTGTGTAGCTTTCTGAAAAGGTTGCACCAATAATTTTTTAGTTTCACAGGGGGATTAAAAAAATACACTATTTACTGTTATTCAGATTGTGCCAGTGACCTCTGCTGTCAGCCTTCATAAGCAGGGAGCCAGTAGTAGAGAGGGAATGGTAGGTTTTCTGGAATGAAACATTAAATTGGCCTCAGTGGGTATGGCGGCCCAAACAGGCACGACCTGAGGGCAGCTCCTCCAGGGGTGAAGAGACCCAAGGAGTAGTGTACAGACAGCCCCCTGGGTTCAATCTGTTGACTTAGGCTAATCTTATTACTGTGGGGTCATTATGTGTATAGAGAGAGACACCTTGTTCTATTTGAATTTCAGACCAACAGTGACTAGCACCTAAGTACAAGAATGTCCCATGCAATCCACATTTGAGGATCCTGAGGTTTTGGAGAAGAGGAGGATTTGATTTATGAGCCCTTTTGCTCATAGCAGTAAGCTCAACAAAACCTTTTTCTGGTTTTTCTCTATTTTTTAGGTCTGGTAATGCTGACATAGTTTCTCAGCTATCAAGTGGGCTAATAATGCCTACTACAAAAGGTTAAATGATTCATAGTACTGTACACATCAGTTGTTATTGCTTGAGAGAGACAAAAGAAGCCAGGAAGGATTTAGAACCAGATTTGGCTCATTGCCCCAAATGTAAAAATGTGTGGATTACTCACTAAGCACATGCATGCACATACATGTTCTGATGCTGATATTTGTGGGCTGCCTGTGATTTGGTCACAAACTGTAGTTCTCTATTAAAGATGGTGAGCCAAATGGAGTAAGTAGTCTGGGCAGCTGGAGCAGACAGCTACACTAATTCTAAGACCCTGTTGTACCTGGCCAGCCCTCACTGCTTCTGGCATCTGCAGGAAATCTGTTGCCGTATATTCCTAGGATTTGGGTTCACCAGCTGGTGCTGCCATCACAGCTGCTGGGGTCATGACCAACTATCACAGTGGCCACTGTGTGCGTAGTTGACAATGCATCTTAAAGCATTTGTTTGCAACTTAGGGGAAAAATGCAAATATTAAATGCTTAACAATCTTTATTGTGCTGTTGAAGATACAAAATAATGGGCCATGACTGGTGTGGCTCAGTTGGTTGGGAGTCATCCCACAAAACAAAAGGTCACCAGTTCAATTCCTGGTCAGGGCATATGCCTGGGTTACAGATTTGGTCCCCAGTTGGGGTACATGTGAGAACCATTTGATTGATGTTTCTCTCCCTCTTCTCCTTTCTAAAAATGAATAAAATCTTTTTTTTTTAAAAGCCTTATCAGTGTGAAAGATTCATATGCTAAAATTACCTACTAAAAACCCTAAATAACAGATCTTGCCAAATTTAAATCAGCAACATTTGGTGTAAAAGATAAATAGAGCTTGGTAGAAGTAAACCTACAACAGCAGTATAAAATGTCACATAGACTAAAATCTGACCATTGAATGGAACATTTGTCAAGTTTTCTAGAAAATGAATTCTTAAGGCAAATAATTTCCGTAAAAGTATAAAACTAGTTTAGTCTCTATAGAAGATGGATTCAGAAAGTGACTTAATGGAGTTCACAGAAACTTGTTCAAAAACATCACTGCTGGAATTTTTAAGTCAAAATGTCTATTGTGTAGAAACATTCCTATTTAAGGGGTCACAAAATTACCTCAGTTTGGAGGTTCTGATGGAGGGATTTGAGAGTTGGGCCTCCTTTCCCACCATTACCTAAAATGCAATCTGGTTTTCTAGTGACAAGGAGATACATGAACTGTGTAGGCCCTGACCTATCCAGGTTGCTTAAAAACCATGAAGGGCCTGGCCACCCTCCACGTGGAGGTCCCAGTGTGTCCATCCACACATGGGCTCTGGTGCAAGGTGCTTTTGGGTGCGGAAAACCCAGCCAGCCCCATTCCTCCCGCTGACACCTCTCCCAGGTGGCCAGCGCTTACCAGTGGCTCTGCTCTAGTAGACGTTCTACATCTAGCGCGAGTTTATAAAGGCTTATGGCAGAAATTAAAAAATACAAAACCACAGTCTTGCTTACTCATTTATTTCTAGACCCAACTTTTCCTCCAGTTTGTCAGGATTATTGATTTTAAAGAGACCATTTGCCTGGCTGAGTTGTTGGGTCCTTTTCCTCCTTTACTCACTGCTTCTCTGGGATTTACAGAAATGTTACCATGCATGGAAATGGTCATGTGGCCTAGAACCTGGGACACAGCACTCTTTCCTACAGATGGTCAGTTTAAAACCTTGCCACCCCTCCTTGCAGCATCGCTCCAATGCCCCCCAATACACTAAGCACACATGCCTGGTGTTTCAGGCATTCCATGTTCCCCTGGAAAGCTGACACTGGAAGGGACACGAGATTCTGGATGTTTTCTTCGGCATACTCAGCTTGCAGTGCACTGAGGAATGGGGGATGAGAAATGCTCATCCCCATAGAAACTGGGACTTGGACTTAAGAGGTCTAAGAAGAATCAGTAATTAGCAGTATACCCAGTGCCTGCCCAGCAGACTGAGAATTGCCCAGAACAGTGTCTCCTGACGATATGCTGGCAGCTTGGGCAGCTTAGGGCACTAACCTGGTGGTGCTGTCAGGAACTTGGCGCGCTTGTCTAATTCAGAGTTTGAAGGCTTGAAAAACCACCATGGTCTGGCACCAGAGAAATATCCCTGAGTTGGCAAAGGAGGTGACAGTTGGGCCACTCCACTGAGTAGTCAAATAGGAAGTTGGCTGGCCAGGTAAATTCAGTGGGGGACACTTTGAAAGCTCACAAAAGCTTGCAACATGTTTCTCAGACAAGGGTGGCAGAGAACATTTAGCATCCCATGAGCTAGGAGTCAGGCAGGATGGTGAGGAAGGAGCCTGTGTGTGGGAGGGTACGGAGGGAGGAGAGGAAGGACACCTGGCAATGACCAAGTACATGGGCTGAGAAAAATGCAGTTTTCCTCCTTACCTTGGTTATTAAAAAATCCAAAGATATCTCAGAAGATCTAAGATTATCTGCCAGTATTAAAATCCCAATGGGGACATAATTATTGCCACTCTTAATTTTTCTATTGCGAAGTTAATAGTTTGAGTACAAATTGTTTGTTTCTGCCTCCTGGGAGATTTCAAATACTGCTGAATCATCAGTTTTCTAGATTGGTTTACTTTTGTAACTGCCTCTGGAAGCCCATCTTTTCCCTTGGAAGAACTTGGGTAACAAAAGCCTCATGTTAGACAGGATTCAACAGCCCTCGCTATCCTCAGAATTCCGCTGCCACAGCTTGTAACACACCTGACAGAGGACAAGCCACACCTGGATCAGCCTTGGGGAGCACAGCACCCAGAACTGCCACCTGCCAAGAGCAGAACCCTGCCCAGGGGGCATGTGCAGATTTCAAAGAAATTACTAAACTAGTCAAAAGAGAAAATTTTAATCTAGTTTTCCCATTTTATACTAAGTCAGTAATACAGGTCACAAATTGCATTTATTCGCAGATAGCTATAAAACAATCAAAAGTGTATATATCTCTCTATACAGATCTTAATAAATTTTATTGGACAAGAGAACTTGTGCCACAACAGTTTAAACAGCATGATTAAAGACTGCAACACTCCTAAGAGTGGTCACAGATATGTACAGTATGTGAAGAAAAAGTTGCACCTCAGAGCTGATCATGATCAAGTTAAAAACACCTGACATACAGTATATGTGCTAATTTCATTCAGGTCATGACCAGCATGAAAACAAAAAATTCAGGACATATAGATAACTCAGCAAATGTTCTGTAAATGTGTACAGCAATATGCTGCATTTATGAGTTAAAATCATGTTCTACTTTAGTGTTAGCATCAAGCCCTTAGGAGAAATTTTTAAAATCTCCTTTTCTGTTAATACATATCAAAACTATTCACACTTAGGGCTGGATGGGCGGCTAAACACAGAACCGCACAGGTCCTTGCCTGCATGGGAACAGCGAGGGCTAATACTGAATGTCTCATTCATATCCTGGCTCACAGCCACCTTCTGGCTATAATTCCATCTATAAGTCATTAAATAAAACCAGGAGAAAGCAACCCAGGTCTCTGGGAATCTCATCCCTTCCATAAGGAAAATGCTCTGCCAATTCAAGTTTCACTCAGTCAGGAAGACAGAAGATTTAAGGCCTCGGTGACAATTATAATCCTCTGAGAAATTATTTTCCCTTAAAGTCAAGATAAGATAATAGTGTTTACTGTACTTTTCTTGACTGTTAAAATCCCTGGTGTCGATGTAGGCAACTTGCATCTGCAATTAAGCCTGCAAGAGAGGAAGGTCTCTCTTCCTCCCCAAAGCGTCCTAGCTCACACACGTGTGCAACACGTGTCGAACCTCGGCTTCTTAGGAAGCAGGAAAGACACCGAGGTTTACACTTTCTAGTAGGTTGAGGAAGCTGTGCTCATGGCATCTTCAGAGATTTTGGTACTGGCAGGGTGGATGCTTGCAAAGTACTTGACATCACTGTCACGATCCATCTGAAGAGCCATGATGGTTTGTTCTACAGCTTCCTGATGACAGCTGGCAGAGGTTAGGAAATAGTCTGGAAGACAGAAGTGAGATTACAAACAGTCTAACACCTCAGTTTTGTTAACAAGAACACAAAGTTGTAAGTATGATAAAATGATTTTTCTACAAGTGAAAACACAGCTATGCTGAATTATAAACAGTAACTCAAATTGATGTTATGTCAAAAAGATTCCCAAATATAAGAAAGATGTATCTTGACTGACTATATCTCATAATGTTCAATGGCATGGAAACTAATAAATACATTAAAACCTGCACTAGCTATTAATTAGCTCAGTAAAAGGAAGAACACTTCCAAATACCAAACACACATGGAACCAGAGTCTTCTCTAGCCATTTTATTGTAATCGCTGTTTTTAAAAAAATGAGTTCTAAAGGAGGAAAAACAAAAACCATTCACTCAAATCCTTTGAGGTCCATTAAAGACGTCTTTCTGTGATTCATTCATGAGTTCATAGATTCAAATGATACTAAGCATTTGAGGGGATTACAATAAATAAAACCACCTGACTCTTGAGGAGCTTATAATCTGCATCAAAGCAAATCACATGGAACATTTGTTTTCTGCCTAATGAATGAAGAGAAGGAAACACAAACACACCTCCTGGCCAAGGGGTGCAGGAGTGCTCCAGGAGCAGTAATTTTTCATAGTCATAAGTGAATGCCCAATTTTCAAACTAGTAAGATTTAAATCATAAAAAGATTCACCAAGAACAGAAGGGCAATAATTAAAAGTCCCCTTCTTCACCCTTCAATCTTCTGTGTCCTCTCACAGAAAGAACCACTGTGAACAACTTACAATATATTCTTCTATCATATTCTTTCTATTTACATATCATACTGCTTAGATTCTCATCTATTCAATAGTCTCCAAATCTTCTTCCTGCCACAGACACTTTTCCTGAATGAGTCGTATACCTACCTTTTTCTAGTAGAGTCTGTCTTAAGGTCTTTGCAAGCAGCACTCGAACGTTTGGAACCCTATCATTTGCTAAGGTTAGCAAATGCGGCATCAGGTGCACAGCAAACTGGTCCATGGGAAGGCAATCATCTTCAATGACAGTCTGGGGAAAAGTAACTACTTTAGATTTGCCAATTCAGTTTAAGTAAGCCATAATACTAGCTAACAAAGTCTTTTAGTAACAACATAATTGCTACAGATTTTAGTTACTGCTTTTCAAACCAATATTCCAGGCACTTGGGAACTCAAAGCAAAAATGTCATAATTAAGTCATAATTAAGTCCCCACTAAGATACAGTTTTTAAACTGCTCCACCGAGACCTCACGTGTTCCTGATCACATTCATTTTCACACCTGTACTATGGTCCAGACCCCGAGTGCCCTCTAGAGCAGGGGTCCCCAATGTCCTGGCCTGTTAGGAACCAGGCTGCACAGCAGGAGATAAGCTTGAATGTAATGACTAGAATCATCCCCAAACCTTCCCCCCTAACCTGGTCCATGGAAAAATTGTCTTCCACAAAACTAGTCCCTAGTGTCAAAAAGGTTGGGGACCACTGCTCTAGGGGACTGCTGTGGATGCACCAGCTTTATAAGGAGCTCAATGGGCTACACAGAGGACTTGGTGAACCAGGGAGATACCCAACTGAGAAATGGAATCCTATAAACAATCAGGTGGCAAAGTTCTGTCCTTTAAGAATAAGAAAGAGGGTGTTGAGAGAGGTAAGGAGTAAACCTAGGTCTACATACAAAAATGTGCCACAAATGGCTATGTCTCTGCTTACCTGGCAGACAAAGACAAAGGCCTGACGACCAGACCACTTGGGACATCTACCAAAATTTTCCACAAGCTCATGGATGAGGTCTACTCCGAATGTTGGCGGTGTTGCCATGTGCAGCTTCTTTACCATCTCACTAACCTAGGAGAGTGAATATGGAGAAGTGACAAATATCTTCATTTCCTGATATTAAATACTGTGCTGATCTAAAATTGTAAAAGTTTTAACACATACCAACTTATAAGAAATCCAACGAACAGAAGAAACTTTATCTGCACACAGATTCAGAGCAATGGGGCGTAAATAGTCATACACATCTCTGGGACTATATAATTCTAGAAGTAGAATCAGCTGTCTACAAAAATAAATTAGAACAATAGTTAAAATTTTAAAAAACATGAAAATAGGATGATCATCTGAATAATCTGTAATACTGGTTACTATTTGTAAGATGAACACATGCAAAGACTGGTGATTCACCTGGTGTCTCGTGCATGGCATTACCTTTGGTCTCTGTATGTGTGTCCACAGGGACAGAGACAGAGCAAAGCATTTCCTAACATGAAACACATTTTCCCCCATAGCTTAGACTGTGCTGAGAAACCTTCGTCTATAATCAGTTATCTAAATAAGAAAGTTCTAGCAGTTTAAGGTAGCCTAATGTGTACTTATTGAGGCTCTAAGCGGCTTCTAAGGGAATGATACATTTACTAGGGGTAAGATAAGTGAGTGGTCCTCTAACAACTGTTTCTATTATTGCTGATGAGAACTGAAGACTAAGCATCCACCAGGCTCATTTGAGAAGATGCAACAATGCTCATGAAGAAATCACTTGAATATGAATGAGACTATTGCCTTTCAGATTTTATGTTTGAGATTATTTACATCTATAAACAGCAGGAAGTGAACTGTGGTCATGGTCTTGGATACCAGCCATAATCATGGTCCAAAACTATTAAATGGAAAATTCCAGAAATAAGCAATTCATAAGTTTTAAATTGTACACTGTTCGGAGTAGTGTGATAAAATCTTGAGCCATCCCATTCCTTCCTGCCTGGGACTGAAATATCCCTTTGTCTAGCATCTCCACACTGCACATGCTACCTATCTGTCAGTCACTTGGTAGCTGACTAGCAGATCAACCAACGGAGCTTGTTGTGTCCAAGTAACCCTAAATGTACTTAATAATGGTCCCAAAGCACAAGAATAGTAATACTGGCAATCTTGATATGCCAAAGAGAAGCATTAAGTGCTTCCTTTAAATGAAAAGGTGAAAATTCTTGACTTAATTAAAAAAAAAAGCCAACTGCTAACATTAAGATCTATAATAAGGACAAATCTAACTGGGAAATTGCCTAATTTATAACTTAAACTTTATCATAGATATGGATATATAGGAGGAAACACAGTGCACATATAAGGTTTGGTACTATCTGTGGTTTTGTAATGGGGTGAAGAGCATGGGTCCCGGATAATCCTACAGGACGGACTGGGGGAAGAGAACAGTGGAAGGTATGGTGTTTTAAGCCACATTGGACTGTCAAGGCAAAATTAATAGCCATGTGCCTTCCTAAAGGGAATAAGGCTACTGCCCAGGGTGCACTGCATATGTGACTGAGAGAATGTGCAGTGACTCCTGATACAGCAGGCGAGGAACATGCCCACCCTGGATGCCTGTGCATCACTGGGAACTCTTGCCCTGACTAAAGATGGCAGCCAAAAGAGGGTCAGACACTGGGGAGCTGACAAAAATGGCGGACAGTAACACTCCATAGGAAGAGCAGGATGTGAGGTCACATAGGAAGTTCCACTGCGCATTTGAATTAGGGTGGGATGAAGGTCAGAGAAGGGAAAGATGTAAGGAGGAGGAGGAGGAGGAAGACTGCACAGGAGTCAGCCATGAGGTCTGCCTGGAGAAGACAGCGGCAGAGCTGACGGAGCTGTGAGAACCCGCCAGGCCAAGCACAGACACATGAGAGATGCCTGGAGCTGGACTGTGACCAGGGATGCAGAGTTGTAGACTCCCACCTCTGACATACAGAGAAGGCACTCTCTTGGTATGGGGACTTTTGGTAAGGGGCTTTAGAGCTTGGTGTAAGCTCTCTCTCCTCCTGGGCTTTCAGCATTTGGATGTCCTGGGCTTTTGGCCCTGAACCTGCAGGGAGAGAAGCACTTGTGGGATCAGGAGCTGTGGGGCCCACCAGGGACTGAGACCCCACAGAGGATGGGAGCCCACTCCTGGAGGTGGGGTCCCATGCTGGGACAGTGTAACACAGCACATGGTTTCCTGAACTCCTACATGGAGATGGGGAGCAGTCTACCCCAGATCCTGATGGAGAGAGCTGATCTGAGAGGATGGCAACTCTGAAACTCGCAAGAGCACATTCCAGAGAAGATGAAGATCTGTTTCTGTGACTGGTAGATAAGGACATGGGGAATTTCTGGGCAGGGTTTTAGCTTGTAGTTTTTTGGGGAGCAAGGAGAGTTCTAAGTCTTATGGGAGAGAAGGCCTCTGAGCAGGAGTGCTCTCAGTACCCCCAAGGTTGAAACCCTGTTAATAAAAAACTATTTCCTTCAACACTAATTGTTGGGTCATGTAGATTGGAGGCACCAAGTGGCTGAGCCCCCGTTTGCTCAGTTAAAGGTTCAGGTATCCACTGTGGGTCTTAGAACATGTCCTTCAAGGATAAGGGGTGACTGCTATTATAACCATCAAAATAGATAATGTAGCAATGACAAAGGCACCTGCATACATACATAAACAGAAATCCTCAAAGAGAAATGTACACTTAATGACTCTATTTACTGACACTGCAAACTTTCTCACTGACGTCTCCTGGGTGTCCATGAGAAAGTCAGGGGTCAGGAAAGGAAACTGGAGAGGTCTCTTAATAGGCAGAAAATGAATGATGGATATTGGGGACAGGCGTGAAACCCCATGCAACCCCCTGGACTCTTCTCTCATACAAAGCAGAGCCTTAAGCTACTAGTGGAGACAAACTGTAGCTGCAGGTAGAAGAGAAGAAAAAACTCTTCCAAGGAGAAGAGCAGCAAAGCTTCTCAAGCTAAGACCCTACATTGATACAAAGCAGAATTCTTCTCCTGCTGAGCAGGAGCAAGAATTCTGAGAAAGCCCAGGCACACTGGGCCTCGAAAATCTGAAGCTGAACCAAAATAAAAGCAATTCCCTCATACCCCAGAACAGGTCTATCTCATTGTAAACAGTCTACAGAGAGGGGAGAGGCAAGAGAAAAGAGCCATGTGTTCCCCAGAAGGCAGGAGCAGCTGAAAGCTGAGGGTGGACTATTAACACATGAAAAGGCCCAGCAGCACTCCAGCTTTCACCCTTACCCTCAGCAAGAGGCAGAGGCAGCCCACAGACACAAGCTCACAGCTTATGGGGCACTAAAGGTAACCACAACAACAATGATCCCAAATCCAGCTCAGTCCAGGCTAGATGGCCTCAACCCTCCACACTAATGGAGAAGAGGTATGTCCATTTCTAGTCAGAAATAAGGCATGCTAGAACTCAGTGCAGGGACATCTTTAATGTACTGAAAGAAAAACTGTTGGCCTGCAATTCTATATGGCCACTGTGGAAAATACTTCGGCAGTTCCTCAACAAATTAAACAAAGAATTACCAACGACACAGCAAATTTACCTCAAACTGAAAACAGGTGTGCAAATAAAAACTTGTACATGAATGTTCAGGGCACCATACTCATAACAGTTAAAAGATAGAAACAACCCAAAGACCCATCAATGGAACAATGGATTTTAAAAACTGGTATATTAATGCAATAAAGTATTCTTCAATAGAAAGCAATAAAGTGTTGAAAGATACTACATATAACATGAATAAATCTTAAAAACATTGTGCTAAATGAAGCCAGACACAAAGTCACATTATAATTCCCTTTATATAAAATGCTTATGATACTACTGATCAAGATGGCAATGTAGGCACACATGCTCATCTCTTCGCACAACCACATCAAAATTACAACTAAAATACAAAACCACCATCATTCAGGAATGTCAGTAATCAAGCTGAATAGAAATCTGACAATTATGGAATTAAAGAAACCACATCCATCCAGGCTGGTAGGAGGGGAGCAGACACCGAATGTGCTGATCCTACACTAATGTGGATAAAAATTCGGGACAGATATCTCAGAGCAAGGAGTCCCAGACCCACACCAGGACCCCCAGTGCCAGGAAGATAAGTCCCCACAACTTCTGGCTGCAAGAACCAGTGGGGATTGAGTCAGTGGAAGAAACTTCTGGAGCCCCAAGCAGTTGCTCTTGGGAACCCGCACACAGCCTCACTTACTCATACTCACTCCCTCTGAGCTCTAGCACCTGCTAGCAGCTTGAAAGGCACCAGTGGTACACAGGGAGAGAATGAAGTGTCTGGGATAAAGGCAAGCAGTGGCCATTGTCCCATTGTTAAACCCTCCCCACACAGAGCCAGTAAACTGTTGCTGTATCTGAAACTCCATCAACCTGGCTAACACTGTTTGACCCACCTGGGAGATCCCCAGAGGCTCTGTCCCATCCAAATTTAGGGCCCACCCAAGCTGCTTTTCCATAAGAATGGCTGGTCTTGGCTCCTAAATCCTATCAAACAAACAACAGCTGGCTTCAGTGAGCCCTAGTGTCAACCAGCTTAGATTCACAACTTGGCCTCCTCTGGAATCTCCAAGCCCAGCACAAGTAGCAGCCATCTCAGATTGCTTTACAGCTCAGGCAGGGTGCCCCAGGCAAAACACAGGTGTGTGTGTGGGGGGATCATGTACCACCCAGGAAACCCAGGGCCAGCGAACCCAGTAGACAGCTACAGACCATGTTAGAGCACCACCACCCTGTCCCTGCACAGCTGATCCTCCTTGGAGAGCTGAGGTTGGTAGTCAGTGGTCACAGCCAGTCCTTGCAGCTGACTGGCCATCCCTCCTGCTGATCTGCCAACAGCAACTAAGGCTCAACTACAAGAGGAGGATGTACTCAGCCCATGTGGATGGTGCACTTCAGGTACCCAGCTTGGGTGATAGGGGAGGCTGTGTCACTGGACCCTACAAGACACCTACTACATTAGGCCACACTACCAAGACATGGAGTCAAAGCAGCTCTACCTAATACACAGAAGCAAACACAGGGAGGCTGCCAAAATGGGAGACAAAGAAACACGGCTCAAATGAAAGAACAGATAAAAACTTCAGAAAAAAGAGCTAAACGAAATAGAGATCAGCAATCTATTAGATGCAAAGTTCAAAATACTGTTTATAAGGATGTTCAAGGAACTTAGTGAGGACCTCAGCAGCATAAAAAAGACCCAATCAGAAATGAAAGATATACTAACTGAAATAAAGAACAATTTACAATGAAACAACAGGAGAGTGGATGAAGCCAAGAATCAAATCAATGATTTGGAACATAAGGAAGCAAAAACCACCTCTCAGAACAACAAGAAGAAAAAATAATCCAAAAAAAAGTAGATAGTATAAACAGCATCTGGGACAACTTCCAGAAGTGCAACATTCACCTCATAGGGATGGCAGAAGAAGAGAAAGAGCAAGAAATTCGAAATCTATCTGAAAAAATAATAAAAGAAAACTTCCCTATTTTGGCAAAGGAAATAGACATGCAAGTCCAGGAAGTGCAGCAAGTCCCAATGATAGATGCAAAGAGGCCCACTCCAAGACACATCATAATCAAAATGCCAGAGGTTAAAGATAAAGATAGATTCCTAAAGGCGGCAAGAGAAAAGAAGTTATCAGATGGCTGCCAGATTTGAGGGGCGAGGGGGAGAATGGGTGAAGAGGTGAGGGGATTAAGAAGTACAGAATAACCATGGGGATGTAAAGTACAGTATAGGAAATGGAGTTGCCAAAGAACTTATACATGACTCATGGACATGAACAATGGTGAGGGCACTGCCTGAGGGGGTAGGATGTGCTGGGTTTAAGGGGGCAAAAAGGGGAAGCTCAGGACAACTGTAATAGCATAATCAATAAAATATTATTTTTTTAAAAAATAAATAAAATGCTCAGAATAGGCAAATCCAGAGACTGAGAGTAGATTAATGACCGCCAGGAACTGGGGGCAGAGAGGGGTAAAGGATTTCTTTTGAGATGATGAAATGTTCTAGATTGATATAGGGCTAAATGGTCATATAATATTGTGGATATACTAAACATCATCAATTGTAACTTTGGTTATGTGTATTTTACCACAAATTTTTTAAAAAAGAAATAGAGTTAAAAAAAAGTTAAGAGAATTCACTGCAAAGAAATATTAAAGGAATAGGATACCAGAAAGAAACTTGGATCTACAAAATATAATGAACAAATATAGGGAATGGTAAAGATGAGGTAAATATATGTCCCTCCAAACATATTCTTTTTTTTTATAATATCCCTGATACTAAACTTAACTGCTAGCAGTTTTTAATAAGGTTTTTTAAAAGATTTTATTTATTTATTTTTAGAGAAGGAAGGAAGGGAGATAGAGAGAGAGAGAAAGAAACATCAATGTGTAGTTGCTGGGGGCCATGGCCTGCAACCCAGGTATGTACCCTGACTGGGAATCGAACCTGCGACACTTTGGTTTGCAGCCCGAGGTCAATCCACTGAGCTATGCCAGCCAGGGCTGAAAAAAAAATCAAACATATTCTAATAAACTGTTAGAACTTACTCAGCCAATTCAGCTCGAAAACGCCAATTTCTACTATTATCTGTCACCAAAAACTCCTGAAGTTGATAAAGATATTCTCTTCTTTTATCAATATGAAGAAGCTTCAGAAAATCATGCAAGTGTTTAAGGACACCTATCCTGACCTCATCGAGGTCTTTTAAAAAGCCATTAAAAATTGGAACCAGGTCGGCAGCTGTCAGCTGATCTCCAAGAATCACTGCAAGCTCATGGATGGAGAAGGCTAAAGTTCTTCGAACTTTCCACTGCAGAAATAAAAATAATTGCATTAGTAATCTAAATACAAAGTACTTTAACTTTTAGACAATATAGTAGTTCCCTATTATGTGCAGTTTTGCTTTCCAAGGTCTCAGTTCCTCTGGTCAACTGTGGTCCTAAAATATTAAGTAGAAAATGCCAGATATAAACAATGCCTAAGTTTTAAATTGAGTACCATTCTAAGCAGTGTGATGAATGCTGCCATCCCACTGCATCCCACCCGGGACATGAATCATCCATCCCTTTGTCAGCCTCCCCTGCTGAGTGTGCCCCCAGCCCATTAGTAAAAGTCATGTTGATTATCATATATTGATTATTGTGGTATTGCAGTGCTTGTGTTCAAGTAGTCAGCATTTTACTTAATAATGGTGCCAAAGCACAAGAGCAGTGATGCTGGCAATGTGGACATGCTAAAGTAAAAGTTATTGACTTAATAAGGACAAAAAAAAAATCATATGCTGAAGCTGCTAAGATCTATAGTAAGAATGAATCTTCTATCCATGAAATTGTGAGGGAGAAAGAAATTCATGCCAGTTTGCTAGGAAAGAGAAATCACATTCAAATAACTTTCACTAGAGTATATTGTTTTAATTGTTCTATTTTATTAGTTATTAATCACTTACTGTGCTTAATTTATAAATTAGACTTAATCCTAGGTATATACACATAGGAAAAAGCTGTATTTTCAGGGTTTGGTACTAGCTATGTTTTCAGGCATCCACTGGGGGTCTTGGATTATAGCCCCTATAGATAAGGGGGGGACTGTATATAATGACTGATTAACATTTCAATGCTATTAATCTAAAAAAAAATAGTAATAAAAAATACTAAGTTTTAAGTACCTACTATGCATCAAAAACTGGCAAAAAAATATTTAAATCCCTGCACAATTGTATTATCTTCTTTTCATTTATGAAGAAAAAAGTTTGGAAATTATTATGCCATAGTTTTTTATAGTTTTCTGAACAGTGGATGCCTGATTTACTGATGTCCCACACTGACCAAAGCCTGACTAGTATCATCCTCTTGTTACTATTCCCCTTCCAATTCCTGTGCAGCCTACTACAGATTTAGAAAAATAACAAAACTAGTTTTTAAGGAATTGGCAATTAAAGAAATACAAGAATAGAAAAGTCCTTTGTGGACTGCCCTGGAAAAAGAACTATGAAGAAATGCCTCACCCTGGCCGGGCAGCTCAGTCAGTTGGAGCGTCAATCCGCAGTCGAGGTGTGTAGGGGAGGCAACCAACCAATCAATGTTTCTCTGTCATATCAATGGTTCTTTCTCTCTCCTCTTTCTCCCTCCCCCCACCCTGCTCTCTAAAATCAATGAAACAACCTCACATAACCTTGGGTAAGGATTAAAAAACAATAATAATAAAAAGAAATGCCTTGCATTTACAGGAAACTAATTTAAAAACATCTTTTTCTTCATGTTACTTCAGTTTAAAATTTTTTACTGTTACCTAGTTTAAAACTTCATCTGCTGAGAAATTGCTTAGAGCAAAGGTTTTACACCACCACAAATATAGAACCAGTCCTTTTTTTTTAATTAAAAGATTTTATTTACTTATGTTTTAGAGAATGTAAGGGAAGGACAAAGAGATGGAGAGAAACATCAATGTGTGGTTGCTTTTCACATGCCCCCCAATGGGGGACCTGGCCTGCAACGTAGGCATGTGCCCTGATGGGGAATCGAACCAGTGACCCTTTGGTTCAGAGGCCGGCGGCTCAATCCACTGAGCCACACCAGCCAGGGCTAGAACCAGTTCTTGAAAAAAAATTTATATCCATGGTCAGAATGTTAAACAGATAAAGGCAGGGATGTTTTGATGGAGGGGAGGAGATAGGAGGCCTGAAGCCTGTCCACCCGGAGCTTTCCTGTTCACCAGAGCCCACGGCACTTGCCTCACAAGAACTCAGAATTCTGTGGGATAAGGATGAAAAACTACTAATAAAAAACATAAAGCACTCCATGGGAACTGGGCCTTTCTAGGGAGAAACAAAATCCAACATTCTTAAGAATTAGTCTACATATAAACAAGCCCAATCCTACCACAGAAGTGTGTCAGCATGGGATAAATTCACTCTGCCCAGACCCTGGTTTCCTAGCCTCACAGGTCAGAGGATGAATGTCAACTATGGTCTTGCAAGGTTGCTTTTTACTTTTAACTTGCTGAGTTAACAGCACTGACTCCTTGGAAACTCAGGGAAAATCATTCATTTCTCAGTACAAATCAGTCTAACTAGACTGCTTTCTTAAAAACTGAGATGGATTTCACTGAAGGAATAGGTTTTGTGGAAGGCAGGCAAAAGTTTGGTATAAGGAAATTACACCTAGTGGCAGAGGAAATTAAATCAACAAAGCTTAGGAAAAGAACGACAAAAGTCACAGATATCCAGACAAATGATCGAGGGTCAATGTTTCATATTCTGTGCTCTTTTGGAATAAAGAGGGTGCGATGGTGTGCAGTACAGGGAGGAGCAAACCCACACACCCCCATTAACTTTCTCCCACCTGCACAGAGTCACTCACAAGCTCAAAACTCAGTTGTGCCAATAATAATACTACAGTTCTATGAAGGTTTTAAAATAGTAGAAGCATTTATAACACTGTTTCTAGGGAGAAAACTAAATCCTATATTCTTAAGAACTAATTTTAGACAATAGCACATTTGTAAATTAGGAACTTAGACATGTCAAGTGTGATCATTTTTAGTATTTTAGATAAAAAAGAAATTGCAAAATTGTGGAACTTGGACTATGTAAAAAGACAGCTCTTTGGAACTTGCTAGAACATGAACAGAAATTCTATTAGGTACTGAAAGGCAAAACATTGTGCTTCTATCTGAGCATCCTTGTTAATTCCTTGACTGTTTTACTTACCTGCATGTCTGATGCCAGAGTCTCATAAGTCTCTCTTAGGCAGTGCCAGTTCTGCCTGCCGAGGGTCAGGGCCACGCCTGGGAGGCTATACGCACAGTGCTTAGCAATTTCAGTGTCCACTGTCTGTGCACGAGAGGGGTCAGTCATAGACAAGTACTGATCTAATAGAGCCTGAGGCACAACGTCCTATGATGAGAGAGACAGGGCAGTGATGCAATTTGAACAGTGTAGATATAAACTAGGTAAACTTATTTTTAAATGTATGAGTTTAACATAGCATCTGAAATAGCAGAGAAAACCCAATCTGAAATTTTCAGTTACCTAATAACTGAAAAGAAAAACATGCTGAAGGGAAATGCATATATAAATAAAAATAACTCTAAGAGAAAAACAATGAATAAGATCTTAAAACAGAAAACAGCTTAAAGGACAATTATAATTGATTTTTAAATTTAAAAGACACATTAAAATACAGCCAGTCCCAGGCCAGGAGCACTGTCCTGTACACCAAAAGGTTGTGGGTTTGGTCCCCAGTTGGGGTGTGTATAGGAGGCAACTGATCAATGTTTCTCTTTTATATCGATATTTCTCTCTTTCTCCCTTCCTCTAAATCAATAAACATATTCTCAGGTGAGGATTAAAAAAATATATGACCAGTACCTTTCAATGTTAGCAAAGATTAAGAAAGTTGATTAACTTAGTGAATATGGTTACAGGTACTTTTGTGCACTGTTAGCAACATGTATTAGAATGAGACGATCTGTATGTACTGACTTGAAACTATGTGTCCAGTGTAAGTGGTGAAAGCATATTTTAAAAAACTATGAACATTTTCAAGACTATAATCCCATTTTTAATAAATAGAAGCAATGAAAATAAAGAGCATATATCATTTGACCTAGGAAATCCACTTATAGTAAGATATAGTCCCAGAAGCAAATAACATGCATCATCACGATGAATGTAACACTGCTTGCAATATGACAACAAAACTAAACCCACTGGCATGTAAGGAACTACTGGAGTTCTGGCACCTTCTGTTACAGGGTGCAGCCAAGAGGGGGGACCCCAAATGGGCATTTAAAATGGGGTCCAGAACTCAAGGTATCCATGAGATTTTAAGATGTCTTCACCCCTTCCCCCACAGGTGTGAGTTGGGGGAAGGGGCACACAGAGCAAGAACATGCAGGGCAGCTTTGCAGCTAATCCATGGCATGGTCATTTAACATACCTACAGCCTTTGGCTGGTTACTTAGATATGCTAAATAGCTCTAGGTCAGGGGGATGGAAAAGGACTTCCCCCCAAGATGTGACTGGGGGGCAGGTCCCCCGAGTTACAGCACCTGCGTGGGAGCTCGGAGAAGATTGGCTCCATGACATGGGGTCACACCTGCCCAGACCCACAATGGTGACCAGAAAAGCTGGAGAAGACAGCAGATTGAGGGCAAGTGTGCCTGAGTGTAGGAGGAGTTGGAAATGGGGCTGCAAAGGAAGATTGGTGCGGGGATTTAAACCTAGACACGGCAGCCATTGAGGAGAGAAGCACGCGGTTTTGGCTGAGTGGGGACTCCCGTGGCCCTGGGAGAGAGGACCACGTGCCTTTGCCTGTGGGGAAGAGTGGGGACCCCCGCAGCTTTAGAAGGGGGAACCACCACCTGATTTTAGCATAGATCCCAGCGACACAGCTGAGGGTGCCAGGAACCCAGGGAGGTCTCCCAGTCAAGACAGAGTACTAATGGAATAACCAGAGGACTGCCTGAGCCATGGACTTCTATTTCCTTTCCTGAGATACGGTACTCTGGACTGGGCAAAGGGGGAAGGAAGGACTGTGTCTGTTTGTGGGTGTTTTAAAGGGACTTTAGGATTTGATAATGTCTTTTGATAAAGACATTAGGTTACTACTTTAAGTTTGTAGAGCATTAAATAAACATTTCCTTTCCTTTTCACGAATTTCTGGCATTGAGAGACATCTTTCCTCTGGCGGTGGACATAACGGACCTGGGGGCTTCTTTCAATAATAGTATATCTTCCCAGGCCCGCCCCCCCTTTGTTCTGTAACAGTTCTACTTGAGTAGGACATGTGGATGCCGTGCTGCTGTTGGGAGGGAAGCCTTATGTGCTCATATGGAAAGCTCTCCTAGGCAGGGCAAAAATTTGTCTTTGAAAAACAAAAAGGGGTACACATATACCTACAATAAGTTTTATATATTCACAATAAATTTATGAAGATACACAGAAGAAACTATGATCTGTAGTTATTCTGAATAAAAAGAATGGGATAACAGGTGTGAAAAGAGGAACATTTTTTGCTATTTTATTCTACTATTTGAATTTCCTTGTTGAAAGCATGATATACTAGTCTTAATTTATTTTAAACATTTTATTTATTTTTAGAGAGAGGGAAAGGGAGGGAAAAAGGAGCGGGAGAGAACCATCAATGTGTGGTTGCTTCTCGCACACCCCCAACTGGGGACCTGGCCCTCAACTCAGGCATGTGCCCTGACTAGGAACCAGTGACCTTTGGATTTGCAGACCAGCACTTAATCCACTGAGTCACACCAGCCAGAGTCTTAATTTTTAAGACTCATTATAAAAAAGGACAAAATTCAGTGAGAAATTGCTTTAAAAGAGGAATTAACAACAGCCACACCAAATAAAGCAGTTTTGGTCACTTACTTGCACTTTAGATCTCCTTTCCTCATCAGGGCTGAAACTGCTACTGGTGCTCAAGTCTGAGTCATTATGAATATAGCGAAGGGTGGTCTCCATATTCTGTTAGGAAAACATATTTACTTAAAAAATTGAGCCATCTAACAAATTTCCTTCATTTAAACTACCTTACTAAGTTACTTACCTTTTGAGGCTGCCAAAGATACAAATACATATAAATTCTTCATGCTTTTAAAAGTTTATAAATACACATAAGGCCTCATAAGAACTTCCCTTGCCTTAAACTTGCTGAATAGGATGTCATGTGTATGAAAAAGAACTTCAGAATAAAAATAATTAAAAATTTGGAACTAAATTTGAAATGGCCCAAATATCTAAAATTAGTTTATTTATAAAATAGTACACAGAGAGGGGGTGCTTTCGGTCAACTGTTTTAAAAGCCTTGGGATGTCATATGTAATTATTCTCCTACTGTTGCTAGTCTTGGCTATTCCTCATTTCACAAATGTACCTTTTTAACATAAAAAAAAACCAAAATAAAACACCTTCCAAAATGCAGAGATATCATAGTATTCAAATCTCCAATGATAATTAGTGGTCAGGGTTTCATTCTGAATCACCATTATACAAAATTTCTAATATACTAGATGTCACCAAGAAAAAACAGAACAGAAATCCACTAAAGGTCTAAAAACCCTCTTGCCATCCCCAATATATGCTTGTAGGCATTCTTTCCTGAGCTTTTCGTTCAAGCTACTCTGATCTGTGACCATTGGATTCTGGCATTCAGTGGTGTATTCCTTCTCCCTGTTTATTGAAACAAGGGGTCAGAAATACTGATTAACAAATGATGCTGGCTTGGTGGAAATGTGGTAGGAATTTAAGGATCATACAGAACAGCTCCAAGTATATAGTGAAGATGATGCTAGTAACAGTACCCACCCTCACACTCCAGAGTCCAGATAATGCCACTGGCCCTCCGCAACATGGCCTCAAGTCCCGATCTTCTGCTCAGAATACTGTGTTGCTTGCTGCAGTGAAATGGTCCGATCAGAAACAAAGCACCTCTCCAAAAAGAAAAGGAAAAAGTTAATTATTCTTGATAAAGGGCTTTGTTTCCAGTAAGACTATTTCACTGCAGTGAGCTACATTAACATTGAGGCTACTAACTAAAATGGTCATGTAGACAGGATTAGGATTTACTTTTCCAAGCACTGAACATGATACTAACGTCAAAAAGATAGGACGTGGTGACAATTACTTTTACTTTACGCAAAAGGGAGATCTGAGAAAATCAGCAACAAACAGAATGTACTAACTAGAAAGTGATTAGCTACAATTAATCCCCAGTGAAACACTTCTGTTTTAAACTGCTCTCACTTGATAAACACTTGACTGAGTCTGTTACCTCAACAGCATCGCTGATTAAAGGCACGGAGGCATCATGATTTATTTTACAGTTTGGCAGCTCACTGACGCCCAGATCATCTTGCACATCACTTTTCTTCTCCACATCACTGGCGTCTTCGCGAGCATCCAGACTGGAAGCGCGCAGTGCAGCAGACAGCACATCCACTTGTGCTATAGGCAGAATAAGGAAAGGATAATAAGTGGAAGAATTACAATATGCTTCAAAGTTTCTTCTCCATTTGCATTACATATTATCAATGAAATGTATACTTTTTGACACTGCCACCAAAAAGCTGGAAAATAAACTCTACCATAGTAAATCATTAGTTCTTCAAGAGAAAAAAAGTAGAAAACTAATATGCTTCCATGAGATTAAAAATATTTATACACTACTGTACATTATTCTGCGTTAGTATGAAAAGAGAAATGCTAGCTAGTTTTGGAGGTACCTCCAGTTTATTAAAAGGAGTCAATTTCAGTGTGAGTTAACTATGTTTTGGTAGTGTATGAATTAAACTTATAAGACTTACTTACTAAGCTATTTTAGCAGAAGAGCAGTCACTTTACAAACCCTGCCAACATAAAACAATCGTAATTACAAAGATTTTTGTTGCAGTTAACATTTAAACATCTAATATCTTTTTTCCAGTTTATTTTCTCTTTCTAATTCTTTTTGAAAATGAAATCAGTGACTTGTCCCAAACACAGGGATCCCAAATGAGCACTTGTGTTGCTTGCAGCAAACCAAACTGACAACTTACCAAGTTCTTAAATCTGGCAAGTAGCACTGTCTATGTTTTGAGTTACTCCTCTTTATAAAAGTGACTCAAAACTGAGGCAAGCCATTCTTCCTTCCCCCACAAATGAGAAATTTAACAAAAAATACTGTTAGCATTAATTCAGGTAACAATCCACCTGGATACTCAAAAATATAACAATTTATAAAATTTTAACTTTGAATTTATTTAGTACAAAGATTAGAAAGTGTGTCCCTAAAGCAGAGTACCCATTTAATTAAGATAACCTACTACTATACTGACACATTTATAAAACTCTAGTCTAAGTATATGGAGTACCTGGCAATAGGGTTACAGGAAACATATATGATGAGGTTCTGGTTTATTAGGTCATTATTTGCTAAATTAAGTATGCAAACTGAGGTGTTTAATCATGAAGTTACTCATGAAAAAAATACTCATTCTTTTGAGAATTTCAGCTGCACTGTGTTCTAATCTTTTTCATTACATTAGCTCCCCTTTCTGGAATCAAATTTTAAGTTTCCAAAACAAAATAAAAATAGTATTAAAGTACACTGTACAATACATAAAGGTTAAAATGTTTTGTCCCACATAAAATTCATGGGGGGAGGTGTGTCTAAGAGAGGGAGAGAGAGAGAGAAAGAGAGAGTGAGAGAGAGAGGGAGAGAGAGAGACAGATATCCGTAATACATCTTGATGGTATTCCCTAGGAAGTAACTAATAAATCAGTCTTTCACAGAAAATGCCTCATATAGATCATTTATCTCTAAATGAACTATATGAAGTTTCATCTTCAGGTTTGTAGATTCATAAAAGTTTAAATGAGTAACACTTTGAAATTAGTTTCTTCAAAAAATTGATATAAAGATCATGAAGATACAGACTAATGCTGATTCCTCAGGAAACATGATACTTACATTCTCCATCAGAGAATGAGGTGGAATCTAACCCTTGGCTAATGCTGATATTTTAGTAGGATATACCACCACAACAAATTTTTAAAAAACTAAACAATTGGATCTTTATAAAGATCTCGACTTTCTTGCAATCTAACTGTAATCCCAGGAACCAGAGCTCATTTAACCACAGGTTTGTGAAAAAACATAACTGTAGTAATTTGTTCTCAGAAATAGGGTCCATCTTGAAACTGAGTTTTATCCCTTCCCTGAAGCAGCTGGTACAGCAGAACTAGACCTTTATAATCTCTAACTTTCCCACAAACTTCACTGGTGGTTTAGTCACAAATTTCCTACACTTTATTAATTTTAGTCAGTGAACAATAGGATTTTTCTGACCATGACTGTCAAAAGGGCCCAATTCTTCCACTGAGCCTAAACTGGAAAAGAAATCTGTATTTCGTGAGCTTGGGCCATTTTTCCTTTTGTAATCTATGAACCTAGCTGTGGTGAAGCAAGCTGGCACCACCCATCCTATGTGGGCACTGCTCAAACCCATCCCTGACTCAGCTGGCAATCCTAAATGCCAGGGATCTGAAACTGTCCTGGACAAAGACAGAAAAACTGCACATTCCCGAAGTATTTTGGAAAAGAGGATCTCTTACACCTTCTTCATATTTTACCACTTCCCTTTTGGCCTTTCATGTAGTATCTATTTCTAACTCAGAAAGGGCTTTATTTTTCTAAAAAGGAGTATTTCATTATAGTCTGGAAAACAACTTAAAAGTTTTTGGCCAAATTTCACACACACAAAAAATCAATGCAAGGAAGGCAAGAGTTAAACTGTGAAACAAAGGCTGCCTTAAAATTTTAAAAAACCCCAAGTCTTGCTTTCCCCTCCATGATATGTGCCACCCATCAGTGACGAGGAAAAGAACAGGTAGCCCCAAGGCCTACAAAAGCTGAAGTTTGCCTTGCAAGGGTTTCTCTGGGCAGTGCCTCTCAGATCTTACTGCCCAACTGTCAAGAAAAAATTTATACTCGCAATGTAACTAGTTTGGTCCCTGATCAAAATTTAGTTTCTGTTTTGCCTTAGAGTTCTACCTTTCAAAAAGGTAGACATTTCCTGACAATTTGAAGAAAATGACCACCCACAATTGCAGATTAGAAAAGAAAAAGCATCTAAAACTAAGGTGTATGCCTCTAAAAACTCAAAACACCATCTAACAACTACAGAAAATTAAAGCATAGTAAATTTTTGATTAACTATGGAATTAACAAGGATTAAACATGCCCTCAGGTTTCAATAAAAATCAAATGCTTAAGAATTCTGTAATCTAAGCAGAATATCCCCAACACTGCCCAGCAACGTTTCACTGCAGAACACTCAAAAAGCAGGCAGTTAATAGGCTGTCTCACCCTTCTGTGCTCTGTGAGGCTGGGATTTTTGTCTAGTTTGTTGCTGCTACATATTTAGTATACAGGAGAGTATCAGTTCAGGCACATAGAGGTGCTCGATAAGTAATGATAAATCAGTCAATCAATGGATATGTTATAAAAGCCATCGTAATGGACAGAAACAACATGACAAATAAAAAACAGCAGGTTTAAGAGGTAAATTAGAAAGAGAAGTGATTTAACTCACAATGGAATCTTTGTGTTGAAATCTCCCAATTGTTATAATTTTATAACAATTGTGTTGTTATAATTTTACAATACAACTTTCAGTCAAACATAGTATTAGTAGCCATCTTCTGAAAATGCAAAGTCATATACTGAAACTTACATGTACATGTAGGCCTTTTTATTTTTATTATTTTTTTGTCCTCACTGGAGGACATTTTTTCATTGCTTTTAGAGAAAGAGGAAAGGAGAGAGGGTTTAGAGAGAAGAAGGGAGGGAGAAAGGGAGGGAAAGAAACATTGATATGAGAGAGAAACATCAATTGGTTGCCTTTTGTATATGCCCCAAAGGGGACTGATCCTACAATTCAGCCATGTGCCCCGAGAGGTATCAAACCCATGACCTTTTAGGTTTGTAGATGATGCCCAACCGAGCCACACCAGCCAGGACTGTAAATCTTTAAACAGCAAACTATACATGTCACTTTTAGCTTATTTATTTTAAAAAATTAGTTATTCAATATTTCAGTACTTTTTAAGTGCCTACTGTGTGTCAGGGAACTAAAAGGTACTCCCAGAACAGGTTTAAAGCTTTTTCCCATAAAATTAAAATGTAAGAAAAACAAAGTATGAAAGTTACTGAAGTTTGATAAACTGAATAGAACTTAAGTTTATAAATAATAATAACATTTAAACAAAAAGCTAAAAATTGTAAAGACAAAAGTTTATGAAGAATTGACTATCCTCATCCTGACTGCTGTGGTTTAGTGAGTTGGGCATCATCCCACAAACCAAAAGGTCACCGGTTCGATTCCCAGTCAGGGTACATGCCTAGGGTTGTGGGCCAGGTCCCCAGTTCAGAGCATGAGAGAGGCAACCCATCAATGTTTCTGTAGCACACTGACATTTCTCTCCTTCTTTCTCCATCCCTTCCCTTCTCTCAACATAAATAAATAAAATCTTTAAAAAAATTTGACTATCCTCACCTATGAACATCTTTAGTTTTAAATGTAATTCTGTCTCTCAATTCTCCTCATCCTGGGGTGACAGAGAGTGGAGGGATGGAGAGACTACAAAGGCAAGATTTTTTTTTAAAGACTATTTTTTTTAAGATTTTATTTATTTATTTTTAGAGAGGGAAGGGAGAGAGAAACATCAATGTGCGGTTGCTGGGGGCCATGGCCTGCAACCTAGGCATGTGCCCTGAACCTGCCTGGTTCGCAGCCTGTGCTCAATCCACTGAGCTATGCCAGCCAGGGCCAAAGGCAAGATTTTGATGAATATTCTAATTTGTCAAACAAAACAAAAACCTCAGTACTTGCTACATCATCAAGTTGTCATAAAATGAAAATGCTGGTTCAGTAGGGTACAAAATAAATAAATGACAGAAGCCACAACTGAGGAATAAACAAAGAAAGTGAAACTCTAAGGTTATCATAAAAATTAACCTACGATAAACCTTGGCTGATGTGGCTCTATTGGCTCAAGTGTCATCTGTAAACCAAAGGGTCATGGGTTTGATTCCTGGTCAGGGCACATGCCTAGGTTGAGGGTTTGGTCCCCAGTAGGGGCACATACGAGAGGCAACTTATCAGTGTTTCTCTCCCACATCGATATTTCTCTCCCTCCCTTCTCCTCTCTAAAATCGTAAGTGTGTCCTTGGATGAGGATTAAAAAAAGAAATCTACCATGAGAGATAAAAAATAGGATCTGCTACTGAAAATATTCACTCCTCTACTGTTGCCCTTGTTTCAGAATATAATAAAAAAGAATGAACTAATGATACATAAAACAAGGATAAATCTGAAATACACAGTGCTAAGTGACAGAAATCAGACTCACAAAAAGGTTTGTCATTGCTTGATTCTATGTATGTGGTATTCCGCAGCAAGCAAGATCATGCGGACGTAAAACAGGTTGCTAGAAGCTGAGCAGGGAAGAAAGGATTGACTATAAAGAGGAAAAGGGAATGCTCTGGGGTGATGGAACTATTCTGTATCTTGACTGTGGTGGTGGTTACCCACAACTGTATGTTTGTCAGATCTCACAGAACTGTCCTTGTAGGCTAAATTTTACTGATTATGCCCCAATAAACCTTAAAAAAAAAAAGAAACTGACCATCTGTCAGTTAAATTAACTTTCAACAATCAAGAATATGTAATTTAGCCCTGGCTGGCGTAGCTCAGTGGATTGAGTGTGGGCTGCAAACCAAAGTGTCGCAGGTTCGATTCCCAGTCAGGGTACATGCCTGGGTTGCAGGCCATGGCCCCCAGCAACCGCACATTGATGTTTCTCTCTCTCTATCTCCCTCGCTTCCCTCTCTAAAAGTAAATAAATAAAATCTTAAAAAAAAACAATATGTAATTTGCCTTTAATCAAATCATTTTTCTCCAAATATAAAATTGTAACAGGAAATTTTTTAAAAATCATGATAAATTAAAGCCAAGTAAAGAAAACTGCTAATTTAACTGACATTAATACAGTTTTCAAAGTCTGAACACAAGCTTTTATATGTTTTAGAGGGATATTGAAGTTTATCATTTTATCTACTGTATTTTGTATTTAGCTTTTTAAAACAATGGGTTTTTATTTTCTTTTGAAATATATTTTATTGATTATGCTATTCCGTTGTCTCATTTTTTTCTCCCCTTCATTCCCCTCCGCCCTGCAGCCCCCTCCCACCATCATTCCACCACCTTAGTTCATGTCCATAGTTCACACATATAAGTTCTTTGGCTTCTCCATTTCCTATACTACTCTTAACCTCCCCCTGTCTGTTTTGTACCTACCATTTATGCTACTTATTCTCTATACCTTTCCCCGAATTCTTCCCTCTCCCTCCCCCATCCCCACTTGATAACCTTCCATGTGATCTTCATTTCTGTGGATCTGTTCCTGTTCTAGTTGTTTGCTTAGTTTGTTTTTGTCTGTTTTAAGTTCAGTTGTTCATAGTTTTGAGTTTGTTGTCATTTTACTTATTGTATTTTTTAACACCTTCTTTTTCTTAGGTAAGTCCCTTTAACATTTCTTAGAACAAGGGCTTGGTGATGATGAACTCCTTTAACCTGACCTTATCTGGGAAGCACTTTATCTGCCCTTCCATTCTGAATGATAGCTTTGTTGGATCAAGTAATCTTGGATGTAGGTCCTTGCCTTTCATGACTTGGAATACTTCTTTCCAGCCCCTTCTTGCCTGTAAGGTCTCTTTTGAGAAATCAGCTGATAGTCTTATGGGAACTCCTTTGTAGGTAACTGTTTCCTTTGCTCTCATTGCTTCTAAGATTCTCTCCTTATCTTTAATCTTGGGTAATATAATTATGATGTGCCTTGGTGTGTGCTTCCTTGGATACAGCTTCTTTGGGACTCTCTGAGCTTCCTGAACTTCCTCAAGTCTATTTCCTTTGCCAGATTAGGGAAGTTCTTCATTATTTTTTCAAATAAGTTTTCGATTTCTTGTTCTTCCTCTTCTCCTTCTTGCACCCCTACGATTCGGATGTTGGAACGTTTAAAGTTGTCCTGAAGGTTCCTAAGCCTCTCCTCGTTTTTTTTGAATTCCTGTTTCTTCATTCTGTTCCAGTTGAATGTTTATTTCTTCCTTCTGCTCCAAACTGTTGATTTGAGTCCTGGTTTCCTTCCCGTCACTGTTGGTTCCCTGCACATTTTCCTTTATTTCACTTTTCATAGCCTCCACTTCCTCTATTTTGGGACCATACTCAACCATTTCTGTGAGCATCCTAATTACCATTGTTTTGAACTCTGCATCTGATGGGTTGGCTATTTCTTCATTGCTTAAGGTGTATTTTTTCTGGAGCTTTGATCTGTTCTTTCACTTGGGCTGTTTTTTTTTTTGTTGTTGTTGTTGTTGTTTTGACTTGGCATGCCTGTTATATAGTAAGGGACCAGAGCCTTAGGTATTCGCCAGGGTGGTGTAACCCACGCTGCTGCCTTGTGGTGCTGTATGTGGGGGAGAGGTTTGAGAGGGAACAATGCCACTAGCTCAGCTCTCTGCTGCTTACAGTCACTTCCTCTGCCACTACAAGCAAATGGGCCCTTCTGGTGCTGATTCCTGGGTGGGTGGGTTTGTATATATTCTAGGACCCTATGAGCCTCTCCAAAGAACTCTCCTGTGAGGCTGGGAGTTCCTCCCATCACTGCAACTCCCACATGTTCTGAATCAGTCAGAGGTTTTGAGGCTTTATTTCCACTCACTGGAACCTGGATTGCATGGTCTGTCTCACTCCCCAGTTGTTCCTTCCAGTTTATCTGCATGCAAATGTGGGACCACCTGCTTTGCCAGCAGCCACCTTGCCTTGAGTCCTCCACCTCAGCTGCCCGTCTCCACTCCTCCCACTGGTCTGGATGAATATTTCTTCTTTAACTCCTTGGTTGTCGGACTTCCATACAGTTTGATTTTCTGGCAGTTCTGGTTATTTTTTCTTTTTAAATTTGTTGTTGTCGTTCTTTCGGTTGTGCAAGGGGGCAAAGTGTACCCACCTACAGCTCCATCTTGGCTGGAAGTAATCTTTATCTGCTTTAAAAATGGGTATTTACCAACACTGAGCAAACCAACAGTTTATAAATTTTAGCGTTTAGAACAAGGCCAAAAAAAATTTCTACAAAGTGGTATTAGTTGTAAAGACTTCTAATTATAAAATGTGTCAAATTATTTTTGTTCCAAATAGTATCTCAGATTTCACTGAATAAAGTTATGAAAGAGTCATTAAGAAGACCTTAGTCCTCAAAGGAGCAGAAAGATAATATCTGTATCAGGTCCTGGCCCCGGGATTTTAACCACTCTCCAAGCCCTAGCCAGCAGAACAATGGGGACTGCTTCAGGACACCTCATTTCCCACACACTACAACACATTACACCTAATAAAAGGCAAGTTTTGATTTGAACACAGAACAACTTTCTTTCAGGCTGTCATTCAAAATTAAAGAATCTAAGTAATACACATGTGCAACCCAATGGAAAAGAGTCAGAACTGAAAAGTAATCTAATCAACCCTTACGGGCTTCTATGGCTCTTAAAACACATCATATTCCACAAGAAAATTGGTTTCTTTTGCCTATTAGTAAACTGTGGTCCTTCCTTGAAAAACACTGCATCCACTGCTGTTTCATAAAAGAGCTGAAAAGACCCAGAGCAAAATAGTTAAACCATGACAAGATTAAAATTGTAAATGTGAAACACTGTTTGAATGACTGTGAAAATTTCAGAGATTTGTAAATCAACAATCCTATGCATTCGACAGTTAGGAACATAGTGATGAGCTTATCTAAGTTGTATTTCCTAAAAGTCATATATTTATCAAGACAAGGCATTAAATTTATATTTAATAAGGCAGTTTTTCTGGGGGGGAGGTCAGAAAATAACATTTTATATCAACTTTAGCAAAAAGAACTTGACTGAATTTTTCATACCTCTAACATCTGGATCATCAATATGTGGCTCCAGATTTTCTATCATTTCTTCAAGCTCCTTTCTGGTGGCCATAGTGATGTTTGAAGAACCTGGTATGGTTATTTCAGGTGTTTCTTCTGGTCTCTCTGGGTTGAGTATATTCCCAGAGCTCTGCTCAAGCTCTATATCTAGATCTATTTCAGGAAGAGGAGTCCTCCAGAAATGGAAGGAGTTGTATAATTCCTGATCTAAGAGAGCAGACTGTTGTGAACTGGCGCCAACCTCTGGCCGTAATGTAGATTTGTAGTTACCAGGTTTTTTATCATTCTCATTACTAGCTGCTTCCTGATGAGAGTCTGAGGACAAAGTACAAAGTAAAGAACTGTCCATTGGAACATTTATTTCACCTGGAGACTTCCTAGTAGTGTTGGCATGATCTTCCATAGTGTTTTCCAGATTGACACTGGAATTACTGATATTGGGATCTGAAGGAATATCCTCTGGCCTGATTTGTACATCCTCTGGGACTTCTTGATCTCTGATCCTTTTATGGTTTCATTTGGGGGAGAAAAATGAAAGTATAAAAATTACTGAAAAAAATCAATGACAAATACTACATAAAGCATTTAGATAAGCTAAATATTAAAAATTATAAATTATCCATACATATTCGGTCATTTATGTAAATTATTGATAATGCTTTTTTTCCCATCAGTTGTTCTATGTTCAGAGATGTAAACATCTGTTAAGCCTAAGTCCAGATATTAAAGCACTGATATTAGTTGGTGAAGATAACATTTAAGAACTCTGGGATTCTACAATACCATGGCAATTTCAGTAATTTAATAAAGAACTAAAAAACAGTAGGAAGATAAAATCCTATAATGCATTTTAAGACAGACGCATTTTTAAAGTTATGATTTTTAGGATTTTGGTACTGCCACTCTGCTCCGATGACATGTTGAAAAGCTAAGAATTAAAACCTACTTGCTTACATAAAAAAGAAAAACAAAAAAACCCTCTATACAGCATCACAAAAGATCTTATTTCCTATGTCACAAAATATGTAAGAATCCACTCAAGTGTCTTATTTTTATTTCTTCCAGTTCTTTTAGCTTTCTAGCTCTACTCCCTTATGGAGTTATGACTTACTTGATAAGGACAGATAGCACATGTTCCTAAAGACCACTGATCACTGCCATCCATTATGTAAATGTTTATCGCCTACATTTCATTAGACTCATTTAACAAATATGTATTGAGCACGTACTAGGAACCAGGAAATGGGTATTAAGGATTCATATGTGAGTGTGAGCTGTAGATCTTGCTTGTGAGATTAGAAATTAGAAGCAAATAAAAAACACTTATAAGCAAATAACTACCAGACAGAATGGTAAATGCAGAAGTATGCACAATGAACACAGGAGGTAGAGACGGGAGTTGAAATTAAAAGGCTTTAGCGGAACTAATATAGATTTGTGTTTAGAAGAACCAATAAATGTGTATGAGGCTAAGGGAACAAAAATTTTCAGAAAGAAGAAACAGAATATGCAATGGCAAGGGTGATAAGAGAAGGTGTAACATTTAGAAAACAGCAATGAGTTTACCATGGCTAAGAGGAGGAAATGATGGATGACAAGAATGAAAAACTGCAGAAATCACTGTATTCCATACTAAATACCTCTGGAATTATCCTATGGGCTATTGGAAATAATGTAGGAATTAAGAGACTTACATTTTTAGATGTGTTATTTTTGAAAGACCATTGTGGAAGCCGCAAAGAAAATTGGATGGAGGTGAGACAAGATCCAGGAAACAGAAAAGCAGGTGAAAGACAGTGATGGCTTTCCAAATGAAGGCAGTATCTTTGGGACTACAGAAGTAAACACATTCAAATATCGGTAAACCCAGTAAGGTTTGTTCACTTACTGCATGCTGGGGAAACAAAGAGAGGAATCTGGGAAGATATCCAGATTTCTGACTAGAGCAATCGATTAGATGCTGGTAGCACCAACTAACAGTGAAAAATGCAAGAACAATTTAGTGAGAAAGCTAATGAGTTCCAGTTTGGATACGCTGAATTAGGTATCTATGTCGAAGGTGGTGGTGATGTCCATGGGAAATTGATCCAATACCAGACACAGATTTAAAGGTCATGAACTCAGGGGACATGTGTAGGGCTTATATGTAAGGCAAGAAATGTAAATGAAGGGAAACACAACAGTCACATACAATAACAAAGAGTGAAGGCATTTTCCTTATATAAAAGGATAGTAAAGATGAGTATATTTTTAGGCTTGGTGAAAGAGGATTATAAGAGAGGAAGAAGGTACTAGAGAAACAGGAGACTGATAAAATAACTGATAATGGAAAAAGATTATCGGCTGAAGAACACAGGTAGACATATGAAGAGACACCTCTTTCAAGACACATAAAAGAGAAGTTAAGGAGGAATATGTAGGCAAATTTGTAAGGTGAGTGTGGGAGAAAAACTGTATTTGATGGGTTTAATCCCCTTGAGCCCTGGCTAGTGTGGCTCAGGGGACTGAGCACCCGCCTGTGAACTGAAAGATCACCAGTTTGATTTCCGGTCAGGGTATGCCTGGGTTGTGAACCAGGTCCCCCGTTGGGGGTGTGCAAAGGCAGCTGACTGATGTTTCTCTCACACATCGATGTTTCTCTTCCTTTCTTTCCCCCTCCTTCCCCTCTCTCTAAAAATAAATAAATATATTCTGTAAAAATAAATAAAGATGCTCCCTTGAAATACTATGTGCCTTTACATATACACAATAAGAGATTATTAAATAGGAGGCCTTGTGCAAAAATGGAAATGACATTAACACCTATGCAATATCCCTTATATATTAAATAACATACACGAGATCTGTCCAGAAGGTATCCAGCCATGTAATATGAAAAATTGAGCCATTTACTGAAGAAGATATAAGACATAAGAAACATTGTACATAGGACATGACACCTCAGATGCTTTCAAAGGAGGCACCCTGGAATCTCACATGGTTCTTCCAATTGACATCAGCTGCCCTGCCATATTTTCCTGAATCTTATCTACAATCTGAAATCTCTTCCTTTTCAAAGGCAATTTTAGTTTTGGGAAAAGCCAGAACTCACAGGGTACCACAACTGAGCTGTAGGTGGGCTGAGTCACCTAGGTGATTTCACCAATAAACTCCATGGGTATGCTGTCGTGATGAAGCTGCCAATCACCAGTTGCCCATAGCTGCAACCTTCTGAATCTTCTAAATAGTTTCCAAGGAGGAATGTTCAAGCTTAATGCAAAATCTGATACAGAATCGTTGTCCTACTCGCTCAGTCATTTTGAATGTGACAGTCACACGGTGCACATGCTCACTCAATGGCATCTACCGCCCCCACTGACTAGTAAAGTCATCATTGTTCATGCACTCACATTCCCAGTCCACTCTCCTTGGCTGCCACGTTACATTGATGTCGCACAAACTCTTCTCATTATATTAACAACACCTGGACTTTTTTCCAGACAGACCTCATATGTTCTCATGAAATTATCAACTTTCCTCTGATTAGTCTTAATCTGTAGTAATAATAGTAATGTTCACATTATTTTCAGAAATACTTTTTAGAAACATGGTAATTATTTTTTAAAAGTTTTTAAATAGCCCTGGCTGGCGTAGCTCAGTGGATTGAGCACAGGCTGCAAACCAAAGTGTCGCAGGTTCAATTCCCAGTCAAAGCACATGCCTGGGTTGCAGGCCATGACCCCCAGCAACCGCACATTGATGTTTCTCTCTATCTCCCTCCCTTCCCTCTCTAAAAATAAATAAAAATAAAATCTATTAAAAAAGTTTTTAAATACAGATAAAAATATTTATTAAGTCATCTGAAAACATGCCACATAGTGATGGCATTTTAGATTCTGGCATTGCCCTTCCATTCTTATAACTGTAAGATATGTAGTATGTACACATAATAAAATTGTTACAACTGTAAAAAACTGTTAAAACTGTAAAAAAAAATCTTAGAAGTCTTAGATTCTTATCCTAGGATTGGCACTACATAAACAAAATACCCACATTTTAGGGACTTACAGATTTCCACATTTATTCCTTATTCATAAAAATAGCAATTGTCCTAGATAACCTGTAAGATCCTTTTCCTTTCCAAAATAGTTCTTTAAGCTAGTGCTATTATGCAAAACAAGTATCTTCTATGTGTATGAATTACATATTTTCCAATTGTGTTGTTCTTATTAAAAGATCTTTTTTTCTTTTGTTTTACAAAACACTAGTGTAATAATTGGTAAAATCTGAATATAGTCTTTAGACTAGACAATAATATTGTATCTATGTTAATTTCTTAATTATGTAATTAGACTATTTGGTTATATATTAATGTCTATGTTTTGAGGAAATACAGTCAAACATTTTAATAAGTAGAAAGAAGATGATTGTGTCTAAAACTTACTCTCAAAGAATTCAGGAAAAAAAGAATAATAAAGCAAATATGGTAAATGTTGACATTTGGAGAACCTAGATAAAGAGTGTATGGGATGCTTTCTGTTATTTTTGCAGTTTTTCTGTATCATGCAAACTGAATTTTAAAAATTATAGTAACAAGGAATTGTTTTGTGGGAGTGTGGAGCAAATGAATAAAACTTATAAGGCCTCATCTATTACCTGATGAATTTTAGAAAGCTTCATTTATATCATTCAGTATATAAAACTATTCCAAGAGCCTCAAGTTTCCTGATCCCTATATTCACCTTAACATTCAGATTAAATTTTAATATTAAAATTAATTAACATTAACTTTTAATATTCCTAGCAGAAAAAATAATGGCCAAGTCATTCTATTTGACTAATGTAAAATCAATAGTTTGTTCAAACTTAAAACTCCTAGTACAGTTTTAAAGAGACAAAAAAATTCCCCAGTATTAAATTCTGGGGAGAATTATACATGTATGAATGACAGTTGTTTCAAACTGTCAAAAATATAAATTCTCAGCCCTGGCTGGCGTAGCTCAGTGGATTGAGCGCGGGCTGCGAACCAAAGTGTCGCAGGTTCGATTCCCAGTCAGGGCACATGCATGGGTTGCAGGCCATGACCCCCAGCAACCACACATTGATGTTTCTCTCTCTCTCTCTCTATCTCCCTCCCTTCCCTCTCTAAAAATAAATAAATAAAATCTTAAAAAAATATATACATAAATTCTCTAAATACTGATTCCTCCCCACCCCCTGGACTGCTAAATGCAAAAATTCTGATATTCTTAATTGTCAGACTTCCAAATATCATTACACAAAAATTGTTTTGAAAATTGAGGAGACATGATCTGCATAGTGAGAATTATCTTCTAAGATATCATAGGGAACAAGAGCACCAGAGGATAAGCCAGAGATTTCTCTCAAAAGAACCTTAAGTTTCTTTTAGTTTATAATTAATCTTTAGAGTTCCTGACTAGAGACAGTGAGCCAAAAAGTAAGTACTTGTATATGTATTTCAAGAAGAAAATGACCTATAGAATAGCTGCTCACAGAAGCACTGTATCCTAAGATAAATGCAATGAATACTATCCAAGATACATCTTTCAAGTACTGTGAATTAACTAAAGAAAGTTTTAACATCAGTGAAATACTTCTGAATTTGTACCAGTAACAATTTTACTTTCACGTAGTTGGTATTAAGCTAAATGAACAAAAACTAGTATAAGTGGCTCAGTAATTCAAGGCTTTTGAAATTAAACATATTTCCTTATAATAATTCATTCAAGATTTATATAATGCCAACCATGTGCCAGGCCCAGTGAAGGTGGTAGGGTACACAAAGATAAAACACTAGTTTACTACACTGCATGGACGTGTAGTCTGCTGTAGATATACATAAACACACAACTGAAAAGATATGATTAAAAATTAGTGTTCTTATTCTAGTCCTCCTGACAGCCAAGATGTAATCTTTCCCTAAGAAACACAGGGAAAGATCTTGGAGGTAGTGAGTTTAGAGACAGCAAACACACTGACAGTGACTTTGTTAAATGAGGTATAAATGGAACAGCAGGGTTCCCTAACAGAAAGCAGGAAGAATCAAACGAATAATGTGTTCAGAGTACAATGTAATTGTTGGTTTGGCAAAATTGAGAAATGCATATTTGAATATTTAACCCTGCTTCTGAAAGTAATCTTTATTAACACCTTCAAAGAACCATTAATAGTCTAATCTGAAGTGAAAGATAAATTTTGAATATAAAGTCAGATGTTTATAATCAGTAAATGATTCAAAGCATATTAAATGATATTAAATGTTTCCAGGATTAGATAAAACAATATATAATAAATAAGCAGCAATGGAAATATGTTGCCAAAAACTGGCTTACATAGTAACATATCTGAGAAATCTGAATTCTAAGAAACTGAGAGGACCTTGATAATAGGAACCAAGTTTCCTACTTCTATCTACAGTAGCTGGTTCTTAGTAGGTGCTCAATTAATTTGTGCTTAATCAATCTTAAAGAACAAAACAACAGTTTTAGCACAGCTTAAAACAAAAGCCAGTGCAATATTTAAGAGAGGGCAAAATAATGCTTGTAAGAGTAGTAATATTTATAGGATGATTCTTTTTGAAGCTAGAAAGTAAAACTACACAGAAGCCCTTAACAATGTTTAACACAACTCCTTCCTTAGCCAGGAACCTTCCCTTCCCTCCCCTATGCAATTAACACAATTCAGTAAAGTCAAATAATCTAGTGAAAATCCAATGCTACAAATAGTATTGACTTGATATTAAGATGTACCTCATTACAGTGGAAGATAAATTAAGATTTATAGCTAAAAGATGTAAACAGTTCTTCCAATAATGTCCTACACAGACCGGCAGTCAGCAAAACTACTGGCCCTGACAGCCACACCAACTATTCTTGCCAGTAAAGTTTTACTGGAACACAGCCAAGCCCATCTGTTTATATACTGTCTGTGGCTGCTACACACTGCAAAGGCAGAGTTGAGTAGTTGTGACAGAGACTGAAAATTTAAAAAAATTATTTGGCCTGTTACACAAAGTTTGCTTACCCTGTCCTATGCAATTCTCTGTAAATTTTTATTTTCACTTTGCTAGACTAGCTCCAGATTTAAAAACAAATAAAAGTTACATCATAGCCTTTGTACAGTTAGGTAGTGAAATGATACGTTAACTTTGAAAATGAAAAACAAGTAATACCTCCTCCGCCCCCCAGTCTGTATTTTTGTCAAATTTCTTGCAGCAGCTGTTTTTCAAAAGAACTGACAGACTGTGCTTGCTAGGAAGGCAGGTTTAGAGCGATTTTTCTTCCTTTACAAAAAACAGTACCTCAGGTTTGTTTGGCTATTCAGCAGGACAGTAGGAGAACGGGCAAAAAGGTAAAACAAGGCAGCAGAGAAGAAAGGAAGAACTGCCAAATCAAAACACCAAGAAAGCAAATATCACAGTATCAAGACCTACAGAAGAAAATGTCCATTAGCATCATGACAAGGGAGGGACAAGACACTATGGTAACTCAAGCATTATAGTAGGGACTGTTTCAAAAACAGGTATTCAATTTCAAGTGCACACTTGCAAAAGTTTGTGCTTATTTCCCATGCACTAAGGTTTGAATTGTTTTTTTCCCAAGTATGTATTACAATAAATTTTAAAACCTAAAACTCAAATTTTTTAAATGCAAAATCACTTAAAAATTAAAATGAGAGTTGTCTTCTAAATTAAAACCTGTGGCCCTATTAGACTAACATAGTTAAAACTGATATTCCAGTTAGTAAGCACACTACTTTAGTGCTAATCATTTAAACACTTTCCTCCTCAACTGAGATTACCATCATCACTGTAGCAGACACTCCAAGATCCATAATTAAATAACTGACAGGAAGGAAAAATAATAGTAAGAAATGGACGATGTACTAAAACATATTCCTAAATTAGGTTTTAATCCTTAAAAACCCAAACCCTTTAAATTGCATAATCATTACCTCATATATTCTAGGTGTCACCAGATGATTTACTAGGTAAATTTATTAAGTAAACTTCTTTTAACCTGTTATTGATCTACCATTTTATTTTACAGTGCTCTATGTGCCTGGCATCAAGCTAAATGTGTATTGTGTGCCTTCATCTAATCATTTACTACACAACCAACCGAAACAATGTTTAACAAATGTATTTAAAACAGAACTATAAAAATATTTACCAATTTGTAAATCAAAAGAAATAGTAAACTGTTCAAAAAGAACACATTATAAAACAGTGAAAATGAAAAAAACAGCAGTAAAGCAGTAAAACTGGAAAGCAAAGTTGTAAAAAATTATACCTATTTTTGTCTTCTACTGATGTATCTTCTGAGCTTTTGTTTTCTTCTTTAAAATATTGGCCTGAGCTAGACGGATTAGCAAAAGTAGATATGAAAGGTCCCAGAGACTGAAAAGCTGCTTGGCGAACCTAGAAAGAAAAGAACGGTCATAAAACATAAAAATACAGGACTATTAATAATCTACTTTCCATATACTGAATGGAAGATAGTAAAGCATTTAAGATATTAAAGTTTCTCTAAAAGAAACCTAGATTCAGAACTATAAGTTGTTATTCAGCTAAAATGTAAAGTTCTTTATAAACTATTTTTTTGTTCAATATTTTTATCCTGGCTTGAATAGTTAAACCATGAGAGTATGAAAATGAGATCCTATAAAATATTTACATAAAATAAAACTAAAGAAAGTCCTGTTGTGGTCTCAGGAACAAAAAAGATGTCAAACTGCAAATATAAAGCAATAAAGTCCACAAAATGACATAAATCAATGTAATGTTTTCAGGTAGGAAAGACTAATTTATTCACTACAAAGAAGCAAGTCAGATGTACGAGAACTACATACATATTCATCAGAAATATAATATCAACTTAAACTATATTTCACAAAAACCTGGAGGCATATATTATTGTTATCAATGAATGTCTCAAGTAGTAAAGCTGAAAATGTTATAGAATTTTACTTCATATTATGTTTGTAATCAAGATTACAAACACATTTAGAAAGGAGACATTTATATGAAGTAAAAGGGTGGATATAATCTAACAAAAGCAATTATGATGAGAAAAACTATAAACCAATTTCTCTGAGATTATACCTTTCAGACATAAAATACCTTTCCTAAGTTTTAAAATGAGGATTACATGCTATATGTAAATTTTACAAAGGTAAATACATGTAAAGTTCACCTATTATTGATATTTACCTGTTTGAAGAAGCAGTTACAAAATGATTCAAGTGATTTTTTAAAAAGGCTAGAATTATACACACGATAGCAAAAACAAAAACAAAAACAGTGCATACGAGTTAACTTACAGATTCCCCCTCTTTATATTTCCCTAACGGCATAACTTTTAAAATTATATGCATGAGTTTAGTCTACTCTGAATACTGTTAAAACTCTGAGCTCGTCTCAAATAGGTGTAACATTTATATATACCTCAAACAAGTGAGGTATATATAAATATACCTTTAAGGAATCCTTCATTTTACACCTGATCTTGGCCAAAAGGCTGAGAAGCAATGGGAATCCTTCATTTTACTACAAACCTATTCCTCAATTAATAATAAATACTGCATATTGCTCCGCCAAAACTATGACAAAGTAGTTAAAACTTCAAAATGAAAACTTCAAATAAGCTACACAGTCTTTCCAATAATCTTATCAAAGATAACAGAAAAACATTAGAATAGTACTAAGGCTCAAAAGTCTTCCTTTACGTCGATTTTATTTTGAAAATGAGTATGGTGAGCCCTGGCTGGTGTGGCAAAGTGGATTTAGCACTGGCTTGTGAACCAAAAGGGTCACCAGTTCAATTCCCAGTCAGGGCACATGCCTGAGTTGTGGACCAGGTCCCCAGTGAGGGGCGTACAAGAGGCAACCACACAATGACGTTTCTCTCCCTCTCTTTCTACCTTCTTTCCTCTCCCTCTAAAAATAAATAAATAAAATCTTAAAAAAAAAAAAAAGAAAATGAATATGGTGAGATCCTGAGATCAACTTCTGCAAGAGAGCATAAGAGCTCCACTGACCCACACTCACCAGTAAAATGGGAAAAAACCCCACCATTCAACACCTCTGGAAAAGGTCCTAAGGGCAAACAACAAATTAATGAATACGTAAGTCAAGAAAACCCACAAAAGTTCAGTGTCTGTGGTATCTGAACCAAGACTAGCTCAGGGAGGTAGAACTTCCATCCAGACTGCTGTAAGCATACAGTGGGCTCCCTCTCCCCAAGATCCCTGCTAAGAAGGCTTTCAGTATTTCTCCTTCTGTCCTCAGCTACCTGTTGCTGAGGCCAGGTCCTGGGAAAGTGCAATGGAGTGGTGGAGGCTCCCTTTTTTCACCCAAGGCCCATTAGTGGAATAGAAGCTATACCAGATGTGGCCCAAAATCCTGAGGCTCCAACAACCCATGCCCCAGCTGATGAGGCCAGGAGAGACAAGCCAAGAGTACCTCAAGCTGGTGAACCTCCCACTCCTACTAAAATGCTCTTATCCATGGGTGATTGTGGGCATACCCAATGCTGTGCCTCCTGGAAGGGGGAAATGAGAGTCCACTGAAGTATTCTACCAGTCACTAAACAAATAACAAGCACGGGAGATGGGTACCAGTACCCAAATTTACTACATTAGCTAAAATCTCAGTTTCCAACAAAAAATTACAAGGCATGAAAAGGAACAGAAAAGTATGATTCATACACTGGAAAAAATATTAGGTAACACAAACTATGTGAGAGAATAGTAAGGTGTTGGACTTAACCACACCAAAAAACTTTGAAGTAGCCATCACAAATTGTTCACAGAACTAAAGGAAAGCATGATTAAAGAAGTAAAGATATGAGGACAATGTCATAGCAAATAAAGAAAATTAATAAAGATACAGAAATAAAAGCAGAGAACCAAATAGAAATTCTGGAGTTGAAAAGTAATAGCTGAAATAAAAAATTAACTACATGAATTCATAACAGATCTGAACTGGCAGAAAAAAAAATCAATGAACTCAAGGTATATAAATATGACTTATACAAGACGAAAAACAAAAAAAAAAGTGCATGAGGAAAAATAAATACAGCCTCAAAATGTGAGATACCATTTAAGCACACCAATATATTTTCTTTTTTTTTTTTTAAAGATTTTATTTATTTATTTTTAGAGAGGGAAGGGAGGGAGACAGAGAGAGAGAGAGAGAGAGAAACATCAATGTGTGGTTGCTCGGGGTCATGGCCTGCAACCCAGGCATGTACCCTGACTGGGAATCAAACCTGCGACACTTTGGTTCGCAGCCCGCGCTCAATCCACTGAGCTACGCCAGCCGGGGAGTATATTTTCTGTATAATGGGAATATCAGGAGAAGAGAGAGAGAAGACAAAGTACTTGGAAGAAACAGACAATCTAGATAGACCTATATAATAAATGACGAGTGAAAGCAGTAATGAAAAAGACAACACCGACAAAGAAAAGTCCAGGTCCAGAGGGATTAACTCCTGAATTCCACTAAACAGTTAAAGGAGAATTATTACCAGTTCTTTACAAATTCTCCCAAAACATAGAAGAGAAGGAGTGAATCTCAACTTGTTTTATGAGGCCATTATTACACTGAGAGCAAAACCAAGCAAAAATAATAAAAAAAGCCATCAAAGAAAACCACAGACCATTTCCTCATATATATATAAAAATACAAAAATTCTTAAAATACTAGCAAAATCCAGCAACATATAAAGAAGTATTACACTATGACCAAGTGAGACCTCCAAGAGATTGAAGGTTATTTAAAATCTGAAAATCAATATACTAAATCATAGCAATGGAATGAACATGTTTTTCATTTGTAAAGAAACTTCTTCCAGTTTTAAAAAAGTTAATAGCTGCCCACTGTCTACTCCTAGAAGTATTAATAACATGCCTTAAATTATAAATTATTTCTTAAATTATGAAATCCAAATCACGTTTGCTGTAAAATGTACTAGCTTTAAAAAAATGATAATTAAACAAACTCCTACCCAACGTGAAGGATCACTGATCAAATTAATAAATAGTGCTGATAATTTAGTCCGCCGTATTTCTTGGCACGTTGCACATGAAACCGCCATGAAGCATTCAGCACAAGCTTTTCGGACTCCCCATACGTTATCGGAACAAAGTTGGAAAAACCTGGGAAGCTATGCAAAGATAGTGTTTTATTAGGCAGAGAGAGTGAGTTTCAGTACAGGCACAACTAGCTTTATTATGCTTTGCTTTACAGCAATTCACAGATACTGCATTTTTTTTTTTCAAAATTAATGCTTGTGGCAACCCTGCATCAAGCAAATCTATTGGCGCCATTTTTTCAACAGGCTCAGATGATGGTTAGCATTTTTTAGCAATAAAGTATTTTTTAATTAAGTATGTATATTGTTTATTGTGGGTATAATGCTAATACATACTTAATAGACTACAGTATAGTTTAAACATAACTTCTATAAGCACTAGGACACCAAAAAATTCATATGACTCTCTCTTTATTGTGGTTTTTACTTTATTGTATGAGTCTGGAACCAAACTTGCAGTATTTTTGAGGTATGCATGTCATTTTCTACTTTTACAATGTTTTAAAGTATGAAATTTCAACAAAATTTAGAAGACCTGTTTAGTATTAATGCTTGACAATTTAAAATAAATTAACCTAATTCACAATACTATTGGCTATGAAAAACAAAAACACTCCTAACAAATATAGCTCAAATCTTATTATCCAAGAGCTTGTACCTAAACTTATTTTGCAAAACAGATGGTTTTAGAAGCTCTTAAAGTATGTTGACTTGTATGTCAAGCACATACATTCTATGAATTAGCCATTTAAAAATAACCTGCTGTGGATTTGTCACTGAAAGACTTGAGGGTTGCTAATAAACATTAACTTGAATAAATAAGAATTGATTTGTTTCATAAAAATGGGGGAGGTAAAAACTATCAAAATACAGTTCAGATTACAGAAATTTAAACTCCAACTCAAAGTCCTATTATCTTTCTGGTCTACATTTGTTAAATTGTGTTAATAAAATCTGGGAGTAAATGTATGCATATTAAACTTTATGTACTATTTTATAATGCATTGTTTACTCCTTTACTACTCTTGTTTCTATAGTACTTACCAACATTTCCTCAGTAGCTTGCTGGCCAACTACACTGCAAATATCGCCAAAATTGGCAGCACAGACCTAACAACAAAAGCATCATTGAAATTTCAAAATATTAGACATAAAGTTCTTTAAAAAATAACCTTTTAAATTTCACATATTACCCTGGCTGGTGTGGCTCAGTGGATTGAGCACTGGCCTGTGAACCAAAAGGTCTCCAGTTTGATTCCTAGTCAGGGCACATGCCTGAGTTGCAGGCCAGGTCCCCAGTTAGGGGTGTGCAAGAGCCAACTACACACTGATGTTTTTCTCCCTCTATTTTTCCCATCCTTCCCCTCTGTCTAAAATACAAATAAGTAAAATTTTCTTTAAAAATTCACATATAATGTATAACCACTAGAAACATGAATTCTCAAACAAATGAAAAGACTAAATACCTTTCGAACATGAAACATTCTGCAATCACAGCACATCTCACAAAACCTCGGGAGGATAAGACGCTCTGTAATGTCTTTTCCAACCATGGGAGCCATTTTGCACATTATCTAAAATAAGAACAAAAACACAATGAAAACTTTTCCAGGTAAGTTTCCTAACTTATTAGAAGTATGTAACTTAAGAATATTAAAAGATGATATGGTATCATTATATCACATACATTAGTAAAATTATTCATCTTATTATCTGAGTTGAAGACAGAAAAACAGACATTAATACCACCAATAAAATCAACCAATAGAGAACAGGGTGACAGTGACCAGAGGGGAGAGGGAAGGGAATTTCAGGGGAAAAGGGGAAGGGTTTACAGGAACAAGTATAAAGGACACATGAACAAAAACAAGGGGGGTGGAAATGAGAGGGAGGTGGGAAAGGCTGGGAGGGGTGGGCTGGGATGGGAGTAAAAGGCAGCAAACTGTACTTGAACAATAATTAAAATTTTTTTAAAAATTTAAAAAATCAACCAATAATTACTCAATGTGTACTGAACCCAGAAAAAAATTCTTAAAATTTTATTTTTGTCTATAGTTCCAATCTTTAACTAAAGTTATCAGGTAAAATCATTTTACCTGATAACTTTAAAAGCAAAAACCCCTACATTTTCCCAGTAATAAAATGAATGCTGACAGTTTAAAAAGGAATGATTATCTAAGAAGGATCTGGGTTTGTCTGTATTGCTAAGAAAGGACTATAGAGGCAGTCCTTACTTACAAAGTACTACTTTAAATAAATGAAACTTGTGCACACCGGAACCATGTCCCTACTCTCTGCAAAGCCTGGGTTCCAAGAAAGGCAAAGACACAGTTCCACCATGCAAATGTTTCAGTTAATGCAAAGTGAGGATGAACTGTTTAAAAACCAGACCAATGTTATTTAAATCAACTGGCCCCATAGTTGGTATAAAAAGAAATCCTCCACAGATGCTTAGAAAGAAATCTGATAATTTGTCATCATTTATCTATTCCAGCTACTTCCAGCTGTGTAAATATGACAAGTAAAAGGCATACAGATTGGAAAGAATCCTCTAGTCATATATGACTTGATTGTCTGCATAGAAAATCTCAAGGAATCTACAAAAAAGGCACTAGAATAAATAAGTCAGTTTAGGAAGTTTGCAAGACCTATGTCAGAGTATAAAAATCAAATGCATTTCTGTAAATCAGCAATGAACAAGTAGAAACATTTAAAAAGTTATTCACAACTATATTAAAAACCATGAAACCTAACAAAACATACATAATTTCTACTGAAAACTACAAAACACTGATAAGTAACAGACTTAAATAAACGGAGAGACCTACCATGCTCATGGATGGTCAAGCTGGCACTTATTCCCTCCCTGATCTATAAATGCAGCACAGTCCCTATCAAAATCCCAGGCTCCTCAGAACTGGGGGATAACACCTACATCTCCTAAACCCCAAAGCCAGTTTTATTTTTTGACCCTGTACAGTTTCTAAGAATTTCCAACCCCTGGGTTAAAGATCCAAAGTGCTACTGTATTACTGATCTACCATAATTAAATGTATTAGAATAAATTAGTCCCCAGGTAGAGAACAACTGGGAAGTCAGGGAAAGCAAATCCTGACAAAATAAACATATACAATTGTAAGAAAATCACAGGTTTCATACTAATGCTAGATATAGTCTTTTTACTATAATTATGTTTTACTATTGTTAAATCCCATCAAAAATTGTAACAGCAAGTTAAACTCTGCTCAATATAAACCAACACTGATGCCAAAACTTACTTCCCTTAATGAGGAACTTGTGAAATTTAAAAATAAAAAAAATCTATGTTTTACAATTTGGCAGAGGTGGCCATTGTACAATATTGTAAAAATACTAAATGTTACTTAATTGTATACTTTAAATGGTTACTTTCATATTATGTAATTACACTTCAATAAAAATGGTTTCGGTAGAAAAAAGAAAACTTATTATTTACTTGTACCTGAGTATATAAAAATAAAATAACGAAATCAAGAAACTGCCAAGGGAAATGGGCTAGAAAGATGAATAAATCAATCCTATTAATGATTTAGAACTATTAGAAAATTTTAGTTTTATTTTTTATTTCAACAAAGATACAATTATATTTATGCTAAAATAGTAAAGTCTCAATATCCAAACAGACTTGAATAAATTTTCAAATGGTTTTTATTAGTTTTCTCATTTATTAACAGAATTACTGCTATCTGAACTCAGGAACTATAGATGTAAACTCCAACAGATAGTACTATACATTCTAATTCATGCCTTATTTTTAACATATTTTATTGATTATGCTATTACAGTTGTCCCATTTCTCCCCTCCACCCTGCACACACTCTCCCACCCACATCCCCCCCATTTAGTTCATGTCCATGTGTCGTAAGTTCTTTAGCTTGTACATTTCCCATACTATTCTTGCCCTCCCCCTGTCTATTTTCTACCAACCATCTATGCTACTTATTCTCTGTACCTTTCCCCCCGTCTCCTCCTCCCACTCCCCTGTTGCTAACCTTCCATGTGATCTCCATTTCTGTGGTTCTGTTCCTGTTCTAGTTGTTTGCTTAGTTTGTTTTTGTTTTCATTTTAGGTGTGGTTGTCAATAATTGTGAGTTTGCTGTCATTTTACTATACATATTTTTTATCTTCTTTTTCTTAGATAAGTCCCTTTAACATTTCATGTAATAAGAGCTTGGTGATGATGAAGTCCTTTAACTTGACCTTATCTGGGAAGCACTTTATCTGTCCATCCATTTTAAATGAAAGCTTTGCTGGATAGAGGAATCTTGGATGGAGGTTCTTGCCTTTCACGATGTCAAATACTTCTTTCCAGCCCCTTTTTGACTCTAAGGTTTCTTTTGAGAAATCAGTCGATAGTCTTACGGGAACTCCTTTGTAGGTAACTGTCTCCTTTGCTCTCATTGCTTTTAAGATTCTCTCCTTATCTTTCATCTTGTGTAACGTAATTATGTGCCTTGGTGTGTGCTTCCTTGGGTCCAACCTCTTTGGGACTCTCTGAGCTTCCTGGCTTTCCTGGAAGTCTATTTCCTTTGCCAGATTAGGAAAGTTCTCCTTCATTATTTTTTTCAAATAAGTTTTCAATTTTTTGCTCTTCCTCTTCTCCTGACACCCCTATGATTCGGATGTTAGAATGTTTAAAGTTCTCCCAGAGGTTCTTAAGCCTCTCCTCATTTTTCTGAATTCTTATTTCTTCATTCTGTTCTGGTTGAATGTTTATTTCTTCCTTTTACTCCAAACCATTGATCTGAGTCCTGGTTTCCTTCCCTTTGCTATATTTCCCTTCATTTCACTTTACATAGACTTTACTTCTTCCTCTATTTTGTGACCACACAACCATTTCTGTGAGCATCCTGATTATCAGTGTTTTGAACTCTGCCTCTGATAGGTTGGCTATCTCTTCATTGCTTAGTTCTAATTTTGGAACTTTGAGCTATTCTTTCATTTGGGCCATATTTTTTTTTGTCTCAGCGTGCCTGTTATGTAGTAAGGTGTGGGGCATTAGGTATATGCCAGAGCAAGGCAACTCACATGGCTATGTTGTGGTGTTGTACATGGGGAAGGGGTCCAGAGGGAACAATGCCACTTGCTTGGCTCTTGCTTAGCTCAGTCCCTTCCCCTGCTACCCATGAGCAAAGTGGGCCCTTCTGGTGGTAATTCCCGTGTGGGTGGTTTTGTGTACATTCCAAGATCCTGTAGGTCTCTCCAACAAACTCTCTTATGAGGCTGGGAGGTCCCCCACTGCTGCAACCCCCACAGTTTTACAGTCAGAGGTGTTCAGGCTTTATTTCCCTGTGCTGGATTCCTTGGTTGCACAGTCTTTCTTGCTCCCCAGGTGTTCCTCCCAGTTTATCTGCATGCAAATGTGGGACCTCGCAGTCCTCCAGCTGCCGCCCTGCCTTGAGTCCTCCCTACACCGGCTGCCCATCTCCACCCCTCCTAACCCATGTAGATGAATGTTTCTTCTTTAACCCCTTGATTGTCAGACTTCCATACAGTTCAATTTTCTGGCAGTTCTGGTTATTTTTTGTTTTAAATTTGTTGTTGTCCTTCCTTTGGTTGTGCAACGAGGCAAAGTATATCTACCTATACCTCTATCTTAGCTGGAAGTCTCCCATGCTTTATTTTTGATGGCTCTCTATAAAACTATTTGCTAACTATATAAAAAAAACCCCAGAAATTAGACTATTATACCTGACTATCATGTGCATTATGAATTAATCTGTATGTTGTTAATAATCATAACTTATATCATGTATCATATCATAATAAAATTACTTGCCGGACTATCCCCTAAAGAACATAGTGTTAACAGCAAGAGCCAAGTATTACTGTTTTTTCCTACTGTCCTTGCACAATGCCTAGAAAACTGGGAGCAATTGAAGGTGTTCAAATGTTTCTTCCTTCAATGCAGTTGTTTTTTATCTTCACTGGTTATTTCTCCCATCTTATTTTTCCATTTTGACATAATAGTAAGTTCACATTTGCTCATTCTCTTTCTATATATCTTGCTTTTCAGAGCTCAGTGATAGACTCATCTAATTTCCAGTTGTTTAGCACAACAGAGGGCCCATAGAATATATAACTTTGCCCTGTGAGCCAATGCCTCTTTCTAGCCAGTCATTTATTTCAAATTAAAAAATGTGCGGCTACTTTGAAATCTAATATGTAGAAATCCTACGAGACATAATGTAGCATAACATTTATTGAGCATCTCTTATTAGTCAATGTAGTGACTAATTTTTACCTAAACTGAAAAATCACATTCTACTTACAGCCACAGCTTCTGTTTTCACATCATCATTGCTATCTGGGGCAGTGAGCTCTATGAGGACCGGGCACACCTTGGTCTCCACATCAAATCGCTCAATTAACTCTTGCTCCAACAGAGCCAGCAAAGCTGCCTGACTTGTTTTTCTTACCTGTGAAAAGATTAATAGTATAAACAAAGTATATACATAATACAGCACAACTCGATTACCTGACTTTCACAAAAATGAAGACTTCTCCTATCAACTGGTAAAACCATGCAAATAAAAATGTGTGGCTATTTTCTTTGAGTATTACAAAGATAGAATGTGATAGATTGTGGTATAACATAAGTATAACAAAGAAGCCATCTTGTAAAATGTCTCACAAAGTAACCTTTTGAGGGACATCTACGAGGGAGCCAGGTTAGGATGCAGCTATGAGGCACTGTCTACAATGGCATTACAGAGACCTCCTAGATTTGCCAAACTCTCAACACATTTTGTCCAAGACAAATGGACTTTTGAAAAACAGAATAACAATGTCAAACAAAATAAAGAAAACATTCAAATGAGACTACCTAGGGTATGCCATTCTACATACATCATATCACATAGATTTCCATTAAGAACATGTCAGTGGCACTCTTACCTGATTATTCTGATCTGCGAGATATCTAACCACAATAGGTAGTAAGTATTTGGAAAAAGCATATGGGATTGAAGGCCGGTTTTCTTGACAAAACAATGCAATATGAGGCACCTGTTCCATCAGCTCTGCTCTCACAGTTGGTTCTATTGAAATAACAGAAATGTGAGCAAACATTCTCTCCAATAACAAAATCTTTGCCTAGGCTTGAGACTAGGACTTTCATCCTCAGTTTAATAAGGGCTTACAAGATGTTCTCTAACTCTGTGATTCTTTTCACAATCATACATAGGTTAACCCCATCATTTAGAGGACCTTACCCCATCCCAAGCTTTTATCTTCATAGTATATACTTAGTATGCAGTCATTTCTGATAATGACTGAATGAGTCTATTCATCACTTACATTGTGCCACAATATGCTAGAGATTAAATATCCAAGTCACATTAACTATAATATTGTATGATCTATAAACTCTACTATTGAATAACCTCCTAGGACAAGCCATAAGGACTGGCTTCTGATCTGAGTTTAGTCAATGAATGGAGGATTTATAGTTAGACTAAATTAAGACTAAAAAGGGTATGTGAATATTAAAAGAGAGCAATAATTTTTTTAAGATCTGAAAAGACCAAAGTATATATGGCATATTCAAATGTCACAAATATGGCATTTCAAATCTCTAGGTTTAAAAAGGAACCTAAGTAATGGTAGAAAAATCAGCTAGTTATGTCAGAAAAAAAGACAAGATTCCTATATTGCGCACCACACATTAATACTAGGTGAATTAAAGTTCCAAAAGTTTTTTAAAAGATCAATCACCTTGAAGAAAACACATGCACAATAAAGTATTAATAACTAAATATACAAAGAATCTATTGTTCAAATAAATAAAAGAAAATAAGGATACAAACAGGCAATTCACAGAAGAAATACAAGTGACTGACACACACACAGACATGATGGCTTATCAACACAATTCATTACCTCAGACCTCATTAGAGAACTCTGGCACCTATTACTGATATTATTAAAGTTACCTTAAGTTAATATGTATGATGTGTCCCCAGGATAGTTTGAGAATGCCTCTCTCCTCTCTGCTTTCCTCCCAAACAATTATAAAAATAGGAACACAAGAAATTAACATAAAATCACTCCTAGTTGCTAACCCTGAACCTGATAGACAACTCCAAACCACTTAAGGAGGCTGAACTGACACTAAAACCTATGAAGACCCACACAAGATGAGCTCACAATGCAAAACTATAAAAAAATTACCAGGAAATGATCCTTCAGTAGCAAAAGAGTTAAAACACAACAGAATTATAAGACCAAGAATTTCAGCTGCTGATCTTTAGAATTTTAAACATTCTAAAGATATAATAAAAGAAAATATACCGAAAAGGAATAAAATAATAGGGAAGGAAAAACAAGAGGAAATGAAAACAAAGCACTTAAGATTCCTAAAAGTGAAAAATGGAGATAATGGCAATGAAATATTCAACAGTCAAATTACAGGTTAGGCTTTGGTAGCAGATATACTATGCTGAGAGAAATGACCAAAATGCAGATGGGCGATAAAGGACTAGAAAGTAAGAACACAGAACAACCATGGAAAAACAGCACTTATATAACAAGAGTTCTATATTTGGAACCAATATACAAAATATGTACTTAAAAATCAACTTAAAAAAAAAGAATATGAGATGGAAGAGAGGCTATATTCAAAATGTTGAAGGTTGAAAATTTCCCCTGATGAAAAATAAGAATCCTCAAATTCAAGAAGCAGGGCAAAGTCCTGAGTAGAATAAAAATAAAGCTGTACCTAAATACATAACAGTAAAACTGAACAATGCCAAGGATAAGAAGTCTTAAAAGCAATCAGGAAAGAAACAGTATTACCTATGAAGACCAAACTAAACAACAGGCTTCTCAATAGTAATAACAGGAGATGAGAATGTGATAGTATTAAAACTAACAACTAGATTTTGACACTTTACTAAGTGACAATTTAAGAGGAATGGTGATATTCAGGACTCCTCCAGTCAAGATGGCGGCACATGTGAACATGGCTCACCTCCTCACACAACCACATCAAAATTACAACTAAAATATGGAACAATTATCACTCAGAATTCTTAGAAATCAAGTTGGATGGAAGTCTGACGACTACATAATTAAAGAAACCACATCCATCCAGATTGCTAGGAGAGGCAGAGATACAGAACATGCTGCTCCTACACCCACATATGGCAGATAAAAATTCAGGAGGGAGCAAGGAGTTGCAGCCCCACACCAGGCCCCCCTCAGGTCAGGGTTCCAGTGCCAGGAGGATGTCCCCATAACTTCTGGCTGCAGAGATTGAGTCAGTGAAAGAAACTTCTGCAGTCCCAAGCAGTTTCTCTTAAAGAATTCACACAGAGATTTTTAGATTCATTCCCTCTGAGCTCCAGCATTAGAGCAGCAGCTAGAGGGACAGCTTTCTCCCAGAAAGAAAGGAAGAAAGGCCACTGTAACTTTCCTGAACTCTCCCCACCACATAGCCACATAGGTGGCAAGTGGATGCCAAATCTGAGACTCCATCAACCTGGCTATACTATTTGCCCTGTCCAGGAGATCCCCTGAGACTCCATCCCATCCAACTTGCTGACCCACCAAAACTATTAACTGTGACTTTTCCATATGAATGGCTGTTCTTGGCTCAAGCTTCACAACTTTGTAAATCATTTCAAACAAGCAACAGCCAGCTTCACTGAGCCCCCAATCCCCTGGACCACTTGCTTAGTGGTCACAGGACCAGCACAACAGCAGCCAGCCTAGATTCACAGCTTGACTTCACTGGGAAATCTCCAAGCCTAGCACAAGTAGCAGCCACCTCAAATTACTTTATAGCTCTAGCAGGGTGGCCCTGGGCAAAACACAGGGGCTGTGTTGGGGCTGACCTTGGTCTACACTACCTGTTAACCATAGAACCTGTGTACCCAGTGGACAGCTACAGACCACATCAGAGCACCACCAGCCTGCCTTCGCACACCTGATCCTCCACGGAAGGCAGAGGTTGGTGGTGAATAGTTATAGCCAGTCCTTGCAGCTAACTGGCCTGGATAAATCCCACCCATTGATCTGCCAACAGCAATAAAAGCTCAAGTAGAAGAGGAGGGGGTACTCAGCCCATGCAGAGGGCACAACTCAAGTATCCAGCCTGGGTGATAGGGGAGGTTGTGCCACCAGTCCCTATAAGACACCTACTACATTAGGCCACACTACCAAGACATGGAGTCAAAGCAGCTCTACATAATACATAGAAACAAACACAGGGAGGCTGCCAAAATGAGGAGACAGAGAAACATGGCCCAATTGAAAGAACAGAACACATCTCCAAAAAAGTGCTAAATGAAATGGAGATAAGCAATCTATCAGATGCAGAGTTCAAAACACTGTAAGGATATCCAAGGAACTTTGTGAGACCATCAACGACATAAAATAGATCCAGTCAGAAATGAAGGATACACTAATTGAAATAAAGAGCAATTTACAGGTAAACAACAGGAGAGTGGGTGAAGCTGAGAATCCAATCAACAATTTTAAACATAAGGATGCAAAAAACAACCAATGAGAACAACAAGAAGAAAAAAGAATAAAAAAAAAACAAAACAAGGATAGTGGAAGCAGTCTCTGGGACAACTTCAAGCACTCCATCATTTGAATCACAGGGGTGCCAAAAGAAGAGAAAGAGCAAGAAATTGGAAATCTATTTGAAAAATTAATGAAAGAGAACTTCCCTAATTTAGTGAAGGAAGTAAACATGCAAGCCCAGGAAGCACAGAGAGTCCCAAACAAGTTGCATGCAAAGAGGTTTACTCCAAGACACATCATAGTTAAAATGCCAAAGGTTAAAGACAAAGAGAGAATCTTAAAAGCAGCAAGAGAAAAGCAGTCTATTACCTACAGGAGAGTTCCCATAAGACTGTCAGCTGATTTCTCAAAAGAAACCTTGCAGGCTAGAAGGGACTGGCAAGAAATATTCAGTCATGAAAAAGCAGGGACCTACAGCCAAGATTGCTCTACCTAAATGATAAAAGCTATCATTTAGAATTGAAGTACAGATAAAGAGCTTCCCAGACAAAAAAAAATTGAAGGAGCTCATCATCAATAAACTATTATTATGTGAAATGTTAAAGGGACTTATTTAAGAAAAGAATATCAAAACTATGAACAGTAAAATGGCAATAAATACATATCTACAACTGAATCTAAAAAACAAACTAAGCAAACAAGAGGAACAGGGACAGAATCATGGATACTGAGAGTGTTTTGATGTTTGCCAGGGTGAAGAGGTGAGGGGATTAAAAAGTATAAATACGTAGTTACAGAATAGCCACGAGAGTGTAAAGTACAGTATAGGAAATGGAGTAGCCAAAAAACTTATACACATAACCCGTGGACATGAACAAAGGTGTGGGGACTACCTGAGGGTGTGGGGTTGCTGGGTACAAGGGGGTAAAGGGGGAAAAATTGGGACAACTGTAACAGCACAATAAATAAAATATATTTAAAAAAGTAATAGTGAAATAAAATCATTTTGAGACAAAAGAAAAAGAATGTTATGTCAGAACTTCATTACTATGTCTTTTTAGAAAGAGGAACTTAAACCAAAAAGTAGTCAGATGAAAAATGTACTAATGAGGGGAAAAATTAGAAAATTTAGTAGGAAATCTAAACAAACATTTACTATATAAAAATTGTAAAAATATGAATGCTAAGTTTAGGGGAATAGCAAGATAAAAAGTTGATAAAAATAAGGTAGAACAAAGGTTTAATTATGCTAAGCTCCTTATTTTTTTAGGAAGATGGGAGTATATGCATTATCTTTAAAATTGTTTATTTTTTAATGTCTTTATCATCTTCAAACATCACAACCAACCCAGCCTACCAAGCTGGAAATCTTAGGGTCAATTTCCTCTCTTCACTCTTCTCAACTATCACAGTGGCTTTGAAATCCATTCCCTAGCACTTTAATTTCTCTCAAACAACTCATAAAAATTACTATTCTCCCAACTAGTCTTCTTGGCACCCTTTTTTTATATCAAGTCAATCCATACTGCTGCATTATTATTCTTAACCATAAGAAATGCAAACTTCCTAACAGAGCATAGTATAAACCTTTACAATCTAGGCTTCAACTACCTCATTATATAACAGCCTCATTTTTTTTCTAAACTATAGACTCAGTAGATTCACTGTGGACCAAATGGGCCAACACCTTGAACTCCTCACACCTCTAAATTTATCTTTTACTTTCCTGAGTATAAGTTCCCCTCTCTATACCGCATCATTCTGTCAAATCCAACTCAAGTGTCATTAACTTTCTGAATCCAGCCCCCATTATAATTTACTGTTTATAAACTATAAACAATTATTGTTTATAAATTATTGTTGATTGCAATCATTAAACTGTTAATTTAATGACAGGAATCTTATTCATTTTAGTAACTGCTCTACAGTTTCATGTTAACTGAGTGAATGTAAGTATAAATGTCAATAAGACATTTACCATTAAACTTGACAACTTGAGAACATTTCTTTTTTAAGATTTATTTATTTATTTTTAGAGAGGGAAGGGAGAGAGGGAGAGAGAGAGAGAGAGACATCAATGTGCGGTTGCTGGGGGTTCTGGCCTGCAACCCCAGGAATGTACCCTGGCTGGGAATCGAACCTGGGACACTTTGGTTCCCAGCCCGCACTCAATCCACTGAGCTACGCCAGTCAGGGCGAGAACATTTCTTAAAAATATACACACATATATATTTATAAAAACCAGCACTATGATTGATAAACAGGTAAAAGAAAACATCATATTTGCCACATATAATGTGCTCCCATGCACAATGCGCACACATGTTTTTACCCCAAACTTTCAGGGAAAAAATCTTTCGTTTTAATTTTTTTAATTCAATTTTTTTATTTATATAAAAAAACAATTATTGTATTCTAGGGTATTATGCATAGAGATATCATTATTGCTTTCTAGAGTTACACTTTTAATGCATAAGCATAAATAAAAGAATTAAAAATATTTACACAGACATAGAATTAGTACTACCCATATATAATGTGCATCCTTATTTTTCCCTCAGAAATTGGGCAAAAAAGAGTGCATTACACATGGTGAAATATGGTAAATACATATTTCTCTTTCAAGAATATCTATGTCTCTACTAAGAAATAAGTAATCACAATGGGATGCAACATTACCAAAAACTTAAAATGTATTCATGCCAAATCAAAATATAAATTATAAGTACAAATTACAGTTGATGAGACTCTCCTAAAACTGTTCTGGAACAAGCATATACATGACCAATTATGTACACAGATCGTCAGAATGACAAAGGTTATTAGTAAAGTTACAAATAATTTTTCTACCTTAAAAAAATAAGGTATGTCAATAGTAAAAAGATATTCCCATATAATGAACAGCTAACTAAAAGATGAGCTCAACTATAAATTAAAAGACTGGCTGACATGCCCAGAAGTTCATTAGAAATTGAAAGATAATGCATTTTAATAGTTTCTAAGAAAAAAAAATTTATTTATTTTTGAATTGTTCCTAAAGTGAATTCTAAAACTTTGCTTAAAACTTAATGTTAGGTTAAAATGGTAAATTTTATGCACATTTTACCACAATAAAAATATTTTTAGAAAAACTTAACTGTTTCATGCCTCAAATCAAGTTTACCTCTTTTTTAAGCAGACCCTCCTATTTCACTTTGGAGATACACAGCTTTGGTTTTACAGTGAGTGATTAACATTTTTTGCAAGTGGGAAAGCATACAAAAAGATTTTACATATGCTTAAAAAATTTATAGCTCAAGCCATCCCTTTTAATTTATTCAAAATTATTTTTAAAGTTTTTATTAAGCCTAAAATATTCGCATGCAGGATGCAAGACAATGTTAAAATTTTTCTTTTAAAAAATTGTTTTTATTTATTCAACACAGAGAGGAAGAGGGAGAGACAGAGAGAAACATCGAGTCATTCCACTTATTTATGCATTCATTGGTTGATTCTATTTTAAAATATGTATTTATTTTTACAGAGAGGGAAAAAGAGAGGGAAAGAAACACCAATATGAGAGAGAAACATCAATCAGTTGCCCCTCGCAGTTGCCCAGGTAGAGCAAACCCACAAACCAGGCATGTGACATGACCTAGAATGGAACTGGAGAGCTTTTGCTTTGCTGGATGACACCCAACCAACCGACCGAGCCACTGTGGCCAGAGCAGATGATTCTTGTATGTGCGCTGACCAAGGACCAAACCCAAAACCTTGGCATATTGAGATGATGCTCTAACCAACTGAGATACTTAGCCAGGGCTTGTTAAGATTTTTCTACTGAGAAATTTCCAAAATTAAACCACATGGGCCTACCATAAAATGTTTGGATTTTAATAATAAGATTTTACTTTCTTGTTTACTAATGGGTTTGATAACTTACTTAGGAAAAATTTTATTAAATTTCTTATCACAGTAAGTGTTTCATTAGTTTTAAAAACAAATTTTGTAAAAGAAAACTTTCTCTGCATAAACATATACCTGAATCATCAGCTAATCTGCTAATTCTTTCCAAAACAGCAATACAATCTCTTTCATCATCGCAGACTTCCCTCAATGTATCCAGCAAACTCCGGGCCACCATTTGTCTACACACACAAAAAAAATTATATAGGGTTCAGTGGCATCAATACTTAATATTCATAATTTCAGAAGGCAGAATCTATACAGTTTTAAAGAAAATGTTTTCTTATACATTTTATAACATATATTAAAGCCTCTAATTTCCTAGGTGACAAATGCCAGTATGGATTTTATTTTAACAAGAAGAATCTGAATGTTCACTGAAATATTTTTCATCTTTACTGATTTAACAAATTTATAAGGTCAATGAAATTTCATTTCAGTAATCTTCAATTGTAATAATGGAAAAATTTACTCTTCTTTATTATAAAAAACATCTTTACATATTTTTACTAGGTGAATGTTATATATCTATACTCAAAAAACATAAACAAAGATTTTCAGATTTCCCAGAAAAGTCTGATATAGGTAGTCTTGTGACCACTGGAGAAACGATGCATTAGGAAGAGTGTTATCTCTTAGCCACTCTATGTCACAGTTCTCTTGACCACCACCTGGCACATAGTAGGTACACAACATTATTTGCTGAAAGAGTAATGTACTCCTCAGTGATCACTTTACACAATATCAAAATTATGCCTAACAGCAAAGAAGCAATGTTTTTTTTTGTTTTTTGCCAAAAAGGAAAAAAAAAAAAGAGTGCTATATTGTTAGTAGGATCAAAGAGAAAATAACTATAAAAGAGGCTGTGGCTGTGACTATTATAAGAGCTTGGTGACTCAGACTGTACACGTTAATAATACCTACTTTAAATCGGGTAATTTTATTTTCCCTCTTGAAATTAATGTAATAAAAACCATCCTTCCATTTCCACTTTAATGAGAATATGCACATACCTGTTATATACGTTCTCACTTGCAGCATACTTGTCCAATCTCCCCAGTGGCGTCAACATTTCATCTTGTGAGACAAAGTCCAGGGCTGAAGGTATAATAATCACATCAGACTCTGAGCTGTAGTCATCCACACCAACTATCAGAGACATCAGAAATACTCCTTATAACACTCTGAAACTAAAAAGTACCCCTTGCCTGTCTGAAGCAGCATAAGTAAAACTGCTCTTAATGAATCTGGAGTGGTATAAAGAATCACAGGAAAATCTTAGAATCAATTCAGAAGCTATGACAACTGAAGGATGCTTCCTCTGTTTTTTTTTTTTTACAGATATGTTCTAAATTGCCTCTAGAAGCACAGGAGTCAGAAGATGTAGAAACTCAGTATGGGGTGGACACAGAAAAGAGTGATCACACAAACCTGAGTACTTACATATTCAATCAGAACCTAACTTGTAAATAAATAAAATGTCAAACACTGACAGTTAATTCTGCAATGCAGAGAAAAACCTAATATACAGAACAGAAAGGTAAGAATTAAAGCAAACTTCTCATCAGAAACAATACAAGCCAGAAGACTGAAGGAAAAAAAAATGTCAACCTCCAATTCTATACTCTGTAAGTACAAATCTTTCAAATATATTTGAAATTCATATCTTTCAAATACAAAGGTGAAATAAAGACTTTTTCATACATATAAATGCTGACAGATATCACCAGCAGACCTGCACTGTAAGATTAAAGGCAGTCCAAGCAAAAAGAAAATTATACCAGGCAGAAATCTGGATTTACAACAAAGAAATGAAGGATATCAGAAATGGTAAATATTGGATAAATATAAAAGCCTTCTTGTTTAAAGAAAAAAATGTACTATAAAATAAAAAGATAAAAAAATGTACCAAGAGACAACATATGCAGAAGTAAAATGTATGATTATACTAGCACAAAGGCAGGAAAAAAGCAAAGTATACTGTCCTGAGGTTCTTACACTGTATGTGAAAAGATACATATTACTTGAAGGTAGACTATAATAAGTTAAAGATAGTATATACTAATTATAAACTCTGTAGCAACCATTAAACATCAAAAAACCAACCCAAGACATAGAGCTAGTAAGCCAATAAGAGCCATAAAATAAAGTCATTAAAAAAATACTCAATCCAAAATAAAGCAGAAAAAGAGGATGAAGGAACCAACAGAACAAAAATAATAAGATGAGTGATTTAAACCCAAACACACTAAGAATCCCTTTCCATGCAAAGGGTCCAAATAGCCCAATTAAATAGCAGAGTGTCAAATTGGATTAAAAATAACACCTAACATGAAATAATTACTTAAACATACTACAGATAAATTTTATACAGGTTATTCTGATCTGCAATTCATCGCCAAGTACCTTAATTATGAACCAGTTATGAAAATCACTCTCATTTGGCCTCAGTTTTCTCCTCTGCAACTTAAGACTGTAGACCTGGCATGACTTCAAAGGTACCTTATACAGGCTCTAGAATTCTATGTCTATGACCAAACTATTTCAGTCTTGACTCACAATTGTTAATCTTAAAGAGAAACATTAATAATATTAATTCTGATCTATGGAAATTAAGTGGCTGTGGGGAAGACTCCTAGAGCAGTGACTGCCAAACATAACTGAGTTTAAGACTAGCTTGGAGCACTTACCTGTAAAATGCAGGTTCCCAGATCTCATATGTAGACACTTATATATATATATATATACACACACACTTGGAGTGAGGCTCAGGAGCATTCATTTTTTAAAAATACCCTCACCTCATACATGCATCATACACACATCTTTCCCCTGCTTGATAATCTATAGCTTCAACAATCAAATGCAAGATTGTTGAATAATCATATTTGAGAAACATACTCCTAGAGGGTAACAAAATCGTATTTTGACTCAACTTTTGTCACCACTATCAATCACGGCTGACAATTATTTCTATACAAAAGGAAGTATTACATTCTGGCAGAGGCACTAGCAACAAAGGTTCATTTCTACTTCCCAGTATCACTATGCCATCTGTCAGTACCTGTGGAATCACTCTGGCCTCAGTCATCCTCTCCAAATTCAATATTTCCTCAACAATTCTTGATTAGACTAATAAGGCTCTACTTTCATCTTTGTGGAGGCTACAAAAATACTGTACACTTAAGTCTTACCCAGTCACACCCTACAAATTCCTGCCACAGATTACGAAGACAAAAACAAAATATAATCAATAAAAAATTATCACCACTAATAAAAAAATTCTACAGCATATAACATAAGTGATGGTATAGTCAATAATATCCTCATATAAAATAGATGGCATAGAGGGAGTAAATGTAGCTATATACTATTATAAAAATTCTATAGCTATGCAAAGTTTACATTAACTTTAAATAGATTACAATAAATTAAAGATGCAAATTACAATCCTTAGGAGTAATCTCTAAAACATGCAAGAAAGGATAGCTAGAAAGGCAATAGCCCTGGCTGGTGTGGCTCAGTTAGTTGGAGCATCGTCCCATAACCGAAGGGTTGCAGGTTCAATTCCCAGTCAGGGCACGTACCTAAGGTCTCAGGTTTGTTCCCCAGTCCGGGTGTGAACAATCCCCGGTCTGGGCGCATACGGGAGGCAACTGATCAATGTTTCTCTCCTACATCGATGTTTCTCTCTCTTTCCCCCATCTTCTCTCTCTAAAAACAATGAAAAAACGTCCTTGGGTAAGTATAACAAATTTCTTTCTTAAGGCAAAGAATAAATAAAATTGAATTTTAAAAATTAAAAATTTAATTAAATTTAATTAAATTAAAAATTTAATTTTTGAATTTTAAAAATTAAAATGAGCAGGATATCTCTTACCGTCCTGCTCCTTCCCGCCTGCCTGGAAAATGAGTTATCCCTTTGTCCAATCTATCTATTCCTTAGCATCAAGGCAATAGTAGCCTAACACTACCCCACAATTCACCTCACTTCATTTCAGCACGCAGGCCTTGTAACATCTCACATCACCACAAGGATGAGTACAGTACAGTAAGATGTTCTGAGAAAAAAAAATGAGACCCCTACATTCACAGCTTTTATTAGAGTATATGGTTATAATTTTTCTATTTTATTGCTAGTTATTGTTAATCTCACTGTGCCAATTCTTGAAAAATACAGGAGTATGCCAAGTAGGACAGATGGCAAGAAGAGGGTATTATAAGCAAAGAAATCCAAAAAACCATGTTATATTTAGCAAACTTACAAGTAATTTAGTACAGGTGGGGAATAGTGTTCACACAGACTTGAAGCAGGAGCAGTAGGGGAATGTGACCAAGCAAAATTAATGTAGCCTTCTCATTTTAAATAGTAATGTTATTATATTTTGTAAAATCCTCTTGCCTGGCTAGAGAAATCACATTACCACCCAGTAGTTAGAAATAGCATTTGAGATTCTAAGAAATAACTTAGTTAAATTCCACAATTACCTCCTTTAAGCAACAGACAATTCCACGAAGTGTATAGACTTATTCAACTATGAGGTAATAAAATCCAATTAAAAGTATCAATTATTAATTAAAACCATCATTTCTTTTTGAAAAGTAAGAAAAAGCAAAGATCATGATGGTTTTAGTCTCTGTCTTTACACAGCATTCTGAGGCCACATTTCACTCTCCTTCTAATTATCCCACCCTTAGTTGTCAGAGAACAGAGGAGGGAAGGTACAGAGAAACCTAGTCTCAAGAGTACACCATTCTAACTCAGTGGAGATGGTTCTAGTTCTACCTGCATCAATACTGTGAAGTAAGCCTCTTTTCTTAACAATGCTTCATATACTATAAGTTCATGCTAACTTCATGCTGACTCAGTAATAAATTTAAATCTACTATTGTTAAATCTTTCAATTCTCTCAGAATATGTTTCAAATCCCTATTCTAATTCAAATCATCAGCCTCCAGTCCTTCCTTACTATCACACATGCTTTTGATGTGCTCTATAGGGGAAAAAGTGCCAGCAACAAGGGAAATGAAAGCAAGGAAGAGAATAGTTTAGTGGTGTACCTGATCACCATTCTACTGCATGACCATACACATATGCTTACGGGCATTAGGGAGGAGACTAAAAGGTGCCACAGCTGTTCTTGCATGCTTCTCAAAATAGAGCATCTTACTACCTATATTTTCCAACAACATGGCCTAACACCAACCACCTCATCTAGGAATAAACTACAAAAACAATAAATGACAGTTACAATGGTGGAAGAAAAATCTGACTGTTACACTTGTATGTAAAACCATGAAGATCATACTTATGAACAACATGTTGATAAAAGTGATTAAGGGCAATTCTGACTACATGGGTGTCTTCCTGACACAATGAATCTGGAACTTCAGCTGCTTTTCTCTAAAATGACTTTTTCAGTAAACTTCTCAAAGGTATATATAGTTCGTCTCATAGCCTTTCACCTCTCCATCAACACAAATATAATCTGTCCTATTTTTCACTCTTGGGAATCTCTTCTCAAAGATTAGCAATAATATGCCAAAATCGAGGGGCCCTGCTTAGACCTACTGTCTCAACCTCTTTACATGTGACAAAACCAACTCTCCCTACCCCAACAGTGTCCTCTCAAATTCTCTTTTCTTGTGTTCTCTGACACAATCCTGAGTATTTTTCTACCTTTCCAGACTATTCTTACTTCTTTCTGACCCTTTTATATAAAATAGATAGCACAGAGTGAATGAAGCTATCTTTCCCTCTACTTTTGTCCTCATATACATGCATCACACGTACACCCCTCCTTCTCCTTGATAATCTGCAGCTTCAATAATAATTTATGATATGCAGATGGCCCCCCCAAAGATCTTCTGCTCTGATCACCAGATCCACAGTTTCAGATACTTCACAGAATCTTAAACTGATCTTATAAAAATGATCTCTTCCTCATGACTTTTCAATTACCATCTTTCTCCTCACTAACCCTGAATTCTCAAACATGAAGTTTTGTTACTTTACCATACCTTTCTTGTCCCCATATCTAACTAGATGCTAAGAACTATAAATTCTACTTTTATAAGTATTCTGTGTTCTCACCTCTCATTTCCCAACATCCTAATTCAGAGGCTCTGATATCTTTTGCTTAGAGCAA